AGCTTTTGTTAAAATTGATTTTTATAATTTCTCTTGGAATTTGAATCTACCAACAGTAAATTTGTTTCTTCTTCCAAGTAGCAGCTTTTTCAATGTTTGAACTTTTATGGCAGGAAGGACTTTAAAATCATTCAGTCTGTCCCTGTCATGTTATAGTTGAGAAAATGAGAGGCAGAGGACATAGTAGCTTTTTGCATGCTCAGAGTCCTGCCAGTAATCATTGGTGGAAGAGGTGAGTCTATAACTTGATTTCTAGACTTCTCAGACAGTACCTGTTCCATAATACCAGGCTGCCCTTAAGTTTTAAGTATCCTCATTTTTGTTTATTCAAAAATTGGGAAGGAAGTAGAAACTATTCTAATGAGAGGAATAATTGTCTAGTAAGGTCATTCTTCTGCATCTCATGTCCTTTGATTTTTATTTGTCTTTCTTTAGTTTAATCCCTTGGAAGACCCAAGATCTATGAAATTGGCCAAAGCTGGTTTTAGAAGCTTTGATGTTCGACTTCACCAGGATGAATTTGGGAAGGGAAAAAAGATTTACCCAAGAGAGATTCAATTGATTTGCTTAATTTACACAATGCATTCTATAAATAGATTCATTTTTTCCAAAGTATTTAAAAGCTTTAGTGGGTTTTATCTCTTCCAAGTGGAGCATAGTGATTATAGCAGCTTTTAGGTGAGATTTAAGGATTTGAGTATCTGTCATTTCCTGTGGATTCCATATGATGAATTTCTTTGCCATGTTAGAGCAGAACTGAAGACTGGGAGAATGATGTTGATCTCTCTTTATGCATCTTCCTGATACTGTCCGTGAAACCAAAAAGTAGAAAATTCTAGAAGGGGAAGAGGATATTCCTCCCAAGTATTTTTTGTTTGTTTTATTGTTGTTGTTGTTGTTGTTGTTGTTTTTGGTACCAGGGATTGAACTCAGGACCTTGCGCTTGCAAGGCAGGTATGGTGCCACTGAGCTAAATCCCCGGCCCCCTCCCAAGTATTTTTAACTATGGAGGAAATAAAAGTAATCATTCTTTTGAGTAAAAATCATATATGCTTTTTCTTTCCAAGTATTCGTATGCAGTACAGAATACTTTGATTTATATTGAATGGATCACTTTGCAGTTTTCTACAAAGCTCAAGTTGGGGCTCCTCAACCTTGGCAACCTAAGTTTTTCAATATTGATATTTTGGTGAGGATACTCTTTTGGTGTGTAAGTCTGTTCTGTGCATTGGAGGAGCCAAAGTCCCCTCTAATTCAGGACCACTTGGTTAGATCATGTTTAAAGTATTAAAAATATGATTTTTATGGCAAAGAAATCTAGTCACATTGAATTTTCCTTGGAGAGAAGCCATAGAGGATGAGGGTTGTATCCTTTGAGCCCCTGTCCCTCAGCAGGGTGGTGCTGCAAGATGGCTTCTGAGCTGTCACAGAAATAAACCCTGTGGTCACCTGGTGATGGGAGTGAAGGGACTGACAAGGATATTGTGTTGCTTCTTTCTCTAGGTTTGATTTTATCCTTGATAATGTTGGTGGATCCACTGAAACATGGGCTCTAAATTTTCTCAAGAAATGGTCAGGAGGCACCTATGTGACTTTGGTGACTCCTTTCCTCCTGAACATGGATCGCCTGGGCGTAGCAGACGGCATGCTGCAGACGGGATTCACAGTGGGCACAAAGGCATTAAAGGTAGGAAGGAGTGTCTCAGCGGGTAAGAGCAAGCATGTGGCCCCTGCTGCTTAGAAAGTGGTGTGAGCCCTGGCCACTTTGTCTTTCCTCTGGGGCAGCATAGCATATCGTGGCCAGCATGCACTCTGGGAATCACACTGGCTGGGTTCAGATCTGACTGAACTGAGTAGCTGTGTGATCCTACAAGTTACCTAACATCTCTAAGCCCAATGTCTGCACCTGTAAAATGAAGTTAATAATTCACCTACCTTATGCATTGTTGTTAGGATTAAATTAGATAATCAAAGTGAATGTGGCATAATGCTTCATACATAAAAAGCTCTTATTAAATGTTAGCTTCCTAATTAGTTGTTACATCTCTTGATTCTATCTGGTACCTTGTCTGCTTCCTTTCTGCCTATATTTAATGGCCTTCTCTCTGTCACTCCAGTCTTAACACATATAATCTCTCATATGTAAAGGTGGAAATTTCATTCAGACAGCGTACAGCTGCTGTTTTCCTGTGAGGCACAACAGTGATTCCCAGGCAGGAGCTTGCTGATCCTTGGTGGGCTTTGGCCATTTCATTGAATTTCAAAAACCTAAAGAAAAGTGTACTCTTACTTTGAGGCTACCAGGGCAAGTAGAGCCATCATGCTTTACCAGGATTATATCAGCTCATCCTAGCACTGTCTGCCCCCTACAGATTAGAAACCCTAGCTACTGATGAGCCACTGTGCCCAGGCCTCTGTGGAGCTGTCACCTCACTTGAACGAACCTAGTGAGTGGAGCTGAGTGCAGGTCAGCCTCAGTTTCGGCACTGACAGCAGAACTTGCGCATCTGCTGGCCACTGAAGCCACGGCCTGTCATCACCATAGTGGAGACAGAGGATTGTATAATTTCAGGTTATAAATTGTTGGTAATTATAGATCATTGAATTAGTGCTGAAATGGAATATGTGTTAGAAAAAGATAAAGATAAATTCTAGTTTTTTAATTAGATAAAATACTCAGCACTTAAGAAAAGAAGAAAAGCAGTAGGAAATTTCTTAGTGGTAAAAATCACTTAGCCCAACCAACTCTGATTCATGTTTGTGAGATGACAGACTTGATAGATTTTGCTAGCTGCTTTTTCTGTTTTTGTGGTGCTGGGATGGAACTCAGGGCCTTACACTGTAAGGTAAGTGCTCCACCACTGAGCTATACCACAGCTGAAGCTGCTGCTTTATGTTAGAAATTAATTTGGAAGGGCCAGGGATGTAGGTCAGTGACGCCGCACCTGCCTGGCAAGCACAAGGTCAAGTTTGATTCCCCGTACCGAAAAAAACAAATTAATTTGGGACCTTCTGGGGGAAGATGAAATTTAGGACTTTGGTCTCTTGAATTCTGTGCCTTAACTAAATCCTTAGAGTAGCAGTGAAGACCGTGACATAGTTCATATGAAACAGGTATGAGGACAAAAAAAGAAAACAACTAAAGCAATTGCAGATAGCACCCAGTCTATTTCTGCTTTTCTGGAATATTACCTCTTGGTCATGTCCAGGTTCTTTCCCACGGGGACACGGCATATGACTGTCTGGAAAGAGCATCTACAACTTGTTGCAGCCCTTAAATTTGTAAAATGTGCTGATTCTCCTCCTCATAAAACTGTATAAGAACCAGAAACAGGTATGAAGAATAACAGTGAACAAACTTAAGCTCTGCAGCCTGCTGTCCTTTATTTTCCTTTGATTCAGGTAGCAGCTGGAAAGGTGCTTTGTGGTAGAGATAGCTTAGCTGTCCTTTGTCTCTTCTTTCTCTTTTCACAGAACCTTTGACTTTCCAGTGCTTTACAATACACGTTTATGTTTCTTGTAAGATTTCACAGTCTATACTCCAGTGAGACCTCATACAGGTTAAACCTTCAGAGTTGCCCTCGGAGAGTAAAAAGGGCACAGTGCTCTTCCTCCTCTCCTTCCCCCTCCTTGAGAGAGGGTAACAGTAATCTCACGTGGAAACCTTCCAGGCAGTTTCCACGGTCTTTCTGAGGCTGTGCACAGTTAAAGCCTCATTGTTAGGCTTCTGACTCTCCTGCCTGCTTGGCTTTATTCTCTCTCCCGTGACACCCCAGGAAAAAAACAGACCCCTTGTAGCGAATATAAAAATTCTGCTGTTGTAGGTAAAGAGTTTTAGTTTGCAGAATAACATGCTGTAAAAAAAAAAATGCTATAAAGAATTGTACGTGTAGCAGTTGCGACCATTCATGTTCCTTCTTCAGTACAATTCCCAGAATATTTTAATTGTAGTCCCTGTGACCAAACCTTAGGGAGAAGTACTTCAACAGGTCTCCGATGATGTCATTGACCGGGCCCCCTGTAAGCTAGCGGCATTCTCAGTGCTCTTAGTACCCAGTCACAAAAGCATTCAGGCAGCACTATTTTTTTAAAGTTTAGACCAGTGCCTCCCAACCTCTTTCACACCGCGACACACAGGAAATGATAGTCTGAACAGTGCATTGAGGCTGCTTTGGGCGAAGAGCAACTTCTCTTAAGATTTCTGTCAGCGCAGGCTCTGCCATGCTACCCTGAGGGCCAAAGGGAGTGTATCTCATCACCTATGCCACAGTGGCTGTCTACCTCTTGTCCTCGGGCAGTTGTTAATGGTGACTCTCAACTCTCACAATTTTTCTCAGTTGGAAAATAAACTATGTGGCCACTCAATCAGTAAGCTATTCTCAACACACCTTGTTGGGAGGCTTTGCCTTGACAACAAGGTTAACATTTTTTCTTTCTATATTCTGAGACTCTGATTTAGCATCATTCCAGTCTTTCCTCAATAAACTTTACTTCTGGCACTGGCATTGATGTCCATTCTTGTCTAATCCTTCCTCCAAGCCTGCCAGTGAGGTAGTGGTACCGGCACTCTGGGCCAGGACATGGGTGGTAGAATGGCTGAAGTAACAGCCAGCTGGTGCTCGAGTGAAGGCAGTGAGGAGCTTGACTGCACTTAGCAGCTTCATGCTGTGCTGGTAACTTATGCCGTTGTGAGGTGTGGCAAGCCCAGAGCGAGCTCAGTGGGAAGGAAGCCTGAGCTCACCTAGTAACTGGCTCGATGCAGTGAGGCCAGCAGCCTGGGACTGGCTGAGCCCATGTGACTGCTGGGTAGCTTCCATCTGATGCACTGTGGTCTGGCAGGACATTGAGGTGTCACAGAGAACCTCAGCTCACATGCTGTGTTGATAATGGGTCACTTCCCTGCAACATGAAGAATAATATAGTTGCAAGTGAGTATGGTGTTTGAGTCAAGCTCTCCTGGTGTAAAATTTTTACTCATTCTCATCTGGAGAAGTTTTACCATATAGATTTGATGGCTTGGTATTTGCTGTAACTGTAGAGAAAGACCCAGTCATGATGTATAAGGAACTTCATGCCTTGTTTTGCCTTTAAAGCTGCCTATTCCTATCAGAGCCAGAAAAAAAATTTGTGATTGAGTTTCTAAGATCATATTTGGTACCTTTTTGTCTCTTGAAGCCTTTTTTTGTATATTCTTTTATTGGTACATTTTAGGTGTACAATATAATGACATTCATCATTGGAGATATGCACCTTTACATACTCTTGAAGCATTTTTTGAATATGGTAAAGATCCCTTTTCTAGTGTCTTTAGGCTTTTTTCAAACCTTAGTAGGGAGAGCCTAGAGGTCTCAGCCCTAATTCCTCCTTAGGGAAACAGTCCAGTGTGTGAGTCTGTCATTAAAGAGCACTTTGCTGTTGACTTGTTTGTTGGCTAAGCTGAAAGAAGTGGCCTGAGCTGACGTGGCTACATCTGTTTGTTCATTCATTCATTAAACATTACAGAGCATTTGCTGTCAGTCACTGAGCTAAGCTGTCAACATGAAATGGGAAATCATTTTGTCTGTCTTATCCAGAAAATGCCTTTCCTTGAATTTTCATTAAGTCAGATTTTATTATTCATATTTGACGTGTTTTGTTTTCTTTTCAGCATTTCTGGCAAGGAGTCCATTATCGCTGGGCCTTTTTCATGGCCAGTGGCGTACATCTAGATGAAATTGCGGAACTAGTAGATGCAGGAAAGGTAGGTGCATATGAAAACCTTTTATTTGGGAGCCTTTGTATTGCAGAGACATGTTTTGTAGACCTGCCCACCTGGCCTCAGCAGTGGGAACTCTCCAGAAGCAGGCTTTGCTGAGATACACACTGCCTTATGTGACCAAATTTAAGTGTCGTATTTTGGGTTCTGTCACCACCAGGATCAGACACAAACTGCTACATCTGAAGAAGAGCTTACCCGGTGTAGTCCCTACTTCTTGATGTATAGGTGAAGAGGTGGGACCAGAGAGTTACGTAATTTTCTTAAAGACTTTTGGATAGATTGTAGCAGAGCTGGGATCCACACTGGGCTACTAATATTTTGGTAGTAGTCCTGAAAAGCTGGCACCATAAAGGCCATGTCTGCACAGAGTGATACACTTGCAAGTTTTCAGAGTAACAACTATAGGAAATAACTCAGTCTGACGTTTAGTTTGCCCTGGTGGTAGGCTGCTTTCCACATAAGAAGGGAAGCAAACTCTATAGCATCTAAACCCCAACATAGCTGGGTTAGAAGTATTCCCCAAGCCTCTTGATTCCCAGGCTAGCTTGATAAAGTCCAGGACAAAGAGGTGGTGTATCAGGAGGTCAGTGGCTGGGTACGGCTGAGGATCAGTGAGGGTTTGGCTGGAGGCAGCTGGGTGGTGTTCTCTGACTACTGATGTCTGTCCTGCAAGGGAAGTTATGGGAAGGGACTGTTGCTTAGAGCCTCGCCATTCTTTTCTGGATGTCAGAGGGCCTTTGAAGGCTCCTGTGGCCACCAGGTGGCCTCCTCAGCCACCACCTGCTCATTTGGATTTTTATGTGTTCTCAACTACCCTGATCATTCCTCCTCTTGAGGAAGCCATAAGATGAGTTCGTATCCTGGTTTTTGGTACTGGTGATTTGATTGAGAGATCATATGGAATTATAGGATTGAGAATCGTATGTTACACCTTAAAGGGTTGCATAAGATTAGAGATACATTGACCTCCATTTTATGGATGAGAAAACGCTCAGAGAGAAAAAGGGACACATGATCTTGCATCAGGGCGACCAGGACTCACCCACCTGACACCTGGGCCTGTGCTTTTCCTCTGCCACCATGTGGTTAGCTGCCTTTTTCTTGGCTGGGTGATTTGGGGCTCCACATTGTCTTGTCCTTGTTATTTTGCAGTGTGCAGGGAAAGGGGTTCAAGCAGGGCCAGCAGAACCACCTCACAACTGCTCAGACACCTGGAATGAGCCCCAGAAAATGGGCTTTCTTCTCTTGCTACCTGCCCCTTGCTGGCCCATTTCATCTTTTCATTTTGATTTTGGGAAAGACTATTTTAAGAATTACTGACTGCTTTTTGTGCATTTCAGTTTTTTATTATAACTAAGGAACTGTATAATAAGACATGGCCTTCCCACATTTTTTGGTTCCAAGTTTTCAAGTTTTTTCTTGGACTCCTAGGTCTTGCTGTGTCCTGGGTAAAGAAAGGCTCAATGTCACTGTGACCATGTCAGTACGTCTTTGTGTAGGGTTCTCCCACATCCAATAGGATGCTTATTTTGTTGGTAGGAAGAAGGAAATAAATCAGGGCTCCATGTGGTTAGACCACCATAATTAGTGGGATCTCTGTCCTCCAGCAGCCTGCCGCATGATTGTGCTTATCCTGATATCTGCTCCAGGCAGTCACATGCTTACCTGTGCTCTTTTGTATTCAAACAGTGTGGCCCTCTCTACCTGGAAATTACTGTTTATCGAACAGAGATGAGAGGTGACTTGTATATATTTACCTCTGGTATTTAGCAGATCACTGATAGAACAGAGGAAGCCCTCAAAGTATCCTTGAAGCAGGGTGAGCAAGGAAATACTCTTCGATTCTCTGCTTTCCTAGCCAGGGTATTGGGACTTGGAAATCATTTCTGACACTGAAGGGCTCTGGAACTGTACGAGTTGGTAGGCAACGCTGGATGCCATGGTAAGACCAACTGTCTCGTCCTGCTCCTGCTTCTCAGTGGATTGGAGAGGCCATTGCCTGTCTCTCTCCCAAAATTGGAAAGAGCCACATGACAGTCACATTACATATTATGCAGTTAGTAGAGATTTGCTCTACTAGATGAAGTCGCTTAGCTTCTTCAAGCTTTGGCTGAGGGCTAAAGGAATCTAATTAACAGGTATCTGATAGAGGAGCTGCAGTTCTTTTTTGATAGTGTAAAGTCACAACAGAACATTTTAATTTAAGTTTTTAGATAAATATATTCCCAAGGTTCAAAATCCAAAAAAGTAGGAAAAGGATTTTGAGCAATTGTCTTTGACTCCCTTCCCTTAGTCACCGAGATTCTGCTTGGAATAGCTGGTGTTACCAGTTTCCTGGGTATTCCAAAGCTGTCTGTCCATCCAGACAGCAGTTTCTTCTGCCTTCCAAACACAAATGGGTAATATATTGTTCTGAGCCTTGCTTTTTTTTCAGACAGGGTCTCACTATAGAGTCCAGGCCTTGAACTCACTATACTCCTGCCTCAGTGTCCCAAGTGTTGAGATTACAGGCACATACCACCACACCCAGCTTCCTCGCTTTCTTTAAAATAGGCTGCGTTGAACTTTGTTTCACTTTAGAATATAAAAACTTTCTTTATTCTTGGTTTTGTTAGCAACTGCATAATATTCCTTTGTACAAATATACCATCATTTATTTATTCATTCTAATCTTTTGTAGATAACTCAGTATTTGTGTTAAGTTCCTAATTGCGAGTATATCCATTTCTATTCATAGAAATGAAGTCACTGAGTCAAAAGATGTCTGTACTTATAGTTTAATAGGTATTAAAATAGCTTTTGAAAATCTAGTTTGTGTATATAGTGTCAGGAAATTCTCTTTTGGCCTACCTTCTAGGTCTCTCTTCTTTTTTTTTCTTTCATCAATTTTCTTGCCCTTTTGCCTGTTTTACTTCATGAGAGACTTGCTTTCAGAGACGTGAAGATCTAGCATTGGTCACTTTTAACTTAAACTGTCCTGGTTGAAAATAGTATCTGGATTAATGAGTGCTATTGGGGGAGTGTTATTTGTCCTTGTATGCTGCCCTGGTAGAAGATGGAGAAATCACAGATGAATATCCATAGGTATGAGTGTTCTCAGTCCATGATCGCACCACCTTCACACTCTCTTAATGAGCATCAGCCCTGCCTTTGCCTTCTTCAGAGTAGCACTTACTAAGTACTTTTGGAATTAGGGTCCACTGCCTTTAATGTGCCCACCATTGTCAAGCCCAAAAGCTGAAATTTCTTATGTGTGGGGACTTCACAATCCACACCTTCTAAAGATCTAGACTTAGGCACTGTTTTCATATAACTGTTGTCATGTGATCTTGCACTTGATGGGATTTTAATTTCATATTTATTCCAGCTGGGCACAATTTCAATCTAGATTTTAAGAACTATACAGTGTTTTCATTATTTCTTAGCCACAGGTTTCCAAACTATAGCCAGTGGGCCAAATCCAATCTAAGGCCTATCTTTGTTCATCCCCTGAGCTAAGTATGGTTTTTACATTTTCAGTGAACATAGACTATGTGTGGTCGCAAAACCTCAAATATTCACTATCTAGCCCTTCACTGAAAGAGTGCCGATCATAGATTGGTGGTTAAGTCTCTTAACCATGGAACCCAGTCGTGCCAAGCCCGCGTTCAGAGACAAGGCAGAGGAGGAGCTGCTGTGCTGGCGATGATTGAGTGGCCTCCCCTGCATGTGTCGCTCCCTCTCTGTGTCGCTCCCTCTCTGTGTCGCTGCACACAGCCAGGGGACTCTGGGTTCTCAGCAGTTAGGAAACCACTGTTCCGCTGCACAGTCTCAAAGGGAAGAATGTGTAATTAGCACCTTTTGTGTAATGGGCTACTATTGAAATTGTGCCTAGTACCTATGGTTCTTTGGCAGTTTTTCTGAAGCACAATAAACATTTCCTGCTTTTATATTATTTAGCAAACTGTTTTTTGGTGGGAAATGAGAGGTCCATAGCAAAAATTATATTCAGGTCATGCTTATGTCATTGATTAGCACAGTTAGAAGCAGAAAAACCTAGTATGTCTCGAGTTTACTGTCTCATCTCCTATCCCCACCCTGCTCTTATGTTATACTTGAAGAGATTAAAAATTTAAATGACATGTTTAAGGTTGCACGGGGAGGTCTCTGGTCACCTAGGACAGTTTCTTACACTACTTTTTGCTGCCTTTAAGATTCAGGCAGTAAAAGTTAAATAATGATCCCTCTACATTGAATTCCTCATTCACTGTTTGTTGCTAGTGTACATAATCAAGCATTACATAGGTGGAGTTTGAACTCTTGATATTTTATTATATTTTCTTGTGTCAAAATGGCAGGGCTGTGCTCTTATGGGAGGCTGGCTATAGGGAGAACTGTTTCTTTTCCTTCTCCAGCTTTTAGAGGCTGCTTGCATTCTGTGACTTGTGGCCATATCACTTTGGCCTCTGCTTCTCTCATCACACCTCCTCTGACTCTGGCCCTCCTGCCTCCCTCTTCTAAGAACACAGGGGTGGTTCCATTGGGCCCACTTGAATAATCCAGGATGACCTCCCCATCTCAGGACACTTCACCTAATGGCACCTACAGTTAGGTGCCTTTTGCCTAAGGTAACATGTTCACAGAGTTTTGGGATTAGAATATGAATATCTTTGGAGGCCGTTATTCTGTCTACCACAATGCATAAAATGTCTCAAAAAGTATATGAAAGGATTTTGAAATATTGTTTGCCCCTAAGGAGGGAAACTGATGATTGGAGATCAAGTATGAGAAGGTTTTTTCTTTTTTACTTCTTTTTTTTTTTTGATATGGGATCTTGCTTGTTGCCCTGGCTGATCTTGGAACTCCTGGGCTCAAGTGACCTTCCCAGCTCAGCCTCCCTAGTAGCTGGAACTACAAGTGTGCACCACACATCTGACTCCCTTTTTTCTTTTTGAGTATGTTTATTTGCACACATATATTCTTTGTACCATTATTAGAGCCTTTTGATAACATTGTTCACAGGTCTCTTCAAAATCCAACACAAGCAGCCAAGCTTCTTGGTTGAACAATAATACAGACTTCTTAAAGTTTTTATTTCTTTATGTTAGTTAGCCAGTATCAGAAGGGTTCCTATGTAACTTACTTGAGTTCAGTTTGAAACATTTACTGAGAGCCTCCTATCACTCTTACTTCACCCTGTAAGGGATGGAGAGATGTATTGGCCATACTGAATTGCCTTGTGAGCAATGCTGTCTTCTGGAACCTTCTGAAGATATGGAAATGTCCTCTGTGGTAGCCACTTAGCTTATGTGACTGGAGCAATTGAAATGTGGCTAGTGCAACTGGAAGACTGAAGCTTTCCTATTATTTGGTCATTTTTGATTAAATTTAAATAGCCGAATGTGTCTAGAAGCTCCCATATTGGACACTGCAGCTTTACTGGGAAATGTAGTGAGTTCTAAGATAGGCAATTTCCCACAGCCCTATTGGATAGCCAGGCCCTAATTTAGCAGTGGACTGCATTCTAAACATTTAAGTTCCGTATTGCACCTGGATTTTGCTCTGTAGAAAGAATGTAATGATTAGAGATCAAATCCCAAGGCTCACCAGAAAAGGGTTAGCTTACCAGATACAGCAAGTGTCTCTTGCATCTCCTAGCCTTTTTCTGATGCTACTTGAAATTGTTTCCCTGAGGAAATGCATACTGAGTTTTTCCGCTCACCACCTAGTGGGGAGGAGTGCTCTTTCTCAGGGGTGGGTACCTAGGGACCCTGGATGCTTTTCAAAACAAGACCTTTACTTCTTGGAGAGCACCCTCATCTGTGTCCATTCCTCTCACCACCTGCCTTTTCAGCTTTGGGTTTCCTGTCTGGGGGCAAAAAGTATCTACAAAATTGCAAACTGGAGCAATTGTCCTCTTGTTATCTCAGGGGACTAGAAGTCTCCTTCCCCTTTGCACCAATGAGTCCTGAAGATGCTGAGCCTGTCCAGGAGATCAGAGCGTCCCGCCTAAGAGGCAGTACTGGGACTTTGGTCCTGGTGCCATCCGTGGGTATGTGGAGCCCTGAGGTTTTGTTGGAGTCATCGTCTGTCAGTCTTCCTCACACACCCTGTGCTCTAAGGTTCTAGGGAAGAACTGGACAAACGGTGACTCCTAGACCACAGCCGTCCCATTTGGCAATCAGGTTGGGCATCCTGGGTCCTGATTTTGGATCTGCGTCTGACAGCTCTGACTTTGCATGTACCACTCAGCCACTTGGCATGCCAGCTTCCTGATCTACCAGAACAGGCCTGCTGAGATAGTGAGATCCCTTTTGGCACTGCTGTTCTATACTTCTTGTGAATATGGGAATTGGGGGAAACCTCTGCCTTCTTCCATGCCTGCTTACAATATGTCCTTTCTCTCCCAGAGTCCTGTGTTCCAGGTGGCGAGAAATGGGGCAGAGAGGGTTTCTGCCTTAGAGCCCAGGGAGCTTGCCCATGCCTGTTGAGCCACAGTGTTGTGAGGCCAGATTTAGGGAGGGTGAGGTTTCCTGGTTCCTGTTACAAAGCCTGAAGGAGCACTCCTGGGTCTCTCGTGGTCCGAGCTGAGTCTCGGGTCTGTAGCGAGAAGTGTGGTGCTGGGCCTGCCCACTATATAACAGCTCCCCTTGCCAGGTGGACTGTAGCAGTGTCATCACATAAATGTCCCCACTTCATTGTGAGTAACCTTTCTTTCCCCTGTGTGGATTTTAGCTCTGATCCCTTTGTCCTTAACAAATAAGCATTCTAGCTCTGATGTGAGGCTGTTACATTATCCAGTTAATCTCCATTTGCTGTCACATATTCAGCCAGTGGCATTTGCCTGCCTATAATTCAAAAGCCTTCTTTTCATTGTCACAGGAATTGCTGAATGACTCATTGTGCTGTGGTCAGCCCTCTCGGGTTATTTGCCACAATAGGCCTGCCCAGCCAGATGAAAGTGCAGTCACTGCTGGGTCATCAGCTCAGCCTGTGTGGCTCCCAGAAGAGCACTGAAGTGAACGCAGTTCGGTGGCTTAGGCGGCTCATTCTGGAGTGGAGCCTGTTCTGTGTACCTGCTCCGGGTTAGTGTCTCACCCTTAGAAGGCAGGCACTCAGTAGGTCTTAGTGGACTGGATGGGTGTGTGTTTGCTGCAAGCTGAGGAGCCACGAACAAGGCAGAAGGCTACAGCGACCCCCACTGCAGTGTACATACACATCTCGGGCAGCTTTTTTAAAAGGCATTGTCCTTTCCCTTCCCCTGCATTGGGAGTCTGATTGGGTTGTTCTAACAGAGGACCCAGGACAATGCATGTTAAGCCTGCATTCAGGTAATTTCTTCTCTAGGTAAATAGCATCCAAAAAAACATCCCAGTGGCTCTACAGAAAGCAGTGGGTTCAGAAGGTTTGCTGTGGGACACACAGGAAGCCACTTTAATGCCTTCCATTCTCTTATTGGAGAAGTAGATAAGACAAGGCACTCAAGTTGGATCTTAGTGGCTGTGGTGTTAAGGAAGGTTCTGAGACTGTGCTCAGTGTGCTAGGGTTTGTCAGCTCCTCCGAGGCCAGTAGGAGTGTTGGCACACATCTGTCACCTCGGCAGACTGGACACCAGGCCTATAGATCAGATCCTCCGCTGGTACAAGGAAGGTGGGCCAAGATGCAGGCTGTGATAAGTCATTGTGACCCTTGGCTGCCCGTCCCTTCCTTGAGAGGTGAAGATGGAAAGCAACATAATGGTGAAAGTTTCTGCACATAGAGGTGAGAGCAGAAACGGTGGCTTTCCCACACTGTTGCCACTTAGTGTGACACTCAGCAGTATATTTAACTCTGTGGCTCAATTTCTTCATTTGTAAAATGGGCATAAGGGTAATCCTACCTCAGAAGGTGGTTATGGGCTTTAAATGAGGTATAAATATAGAAAGACCTTGCTCCAGTCCTTGGCACATAGTGAGGACAGAATGTGGTAGTTTTTACTTTTATCATGAGCTTATTAGTTATAGATAGAAGAGTTTTGAGGTTTTTGCAGAAGGGCACATTCAGAGTCCGAGATGCTCTTCAGGTGGTTGGGCTGTGAAAGTCACACAAGAAGTTTTGGCAGATGCATCTGAATGTGGCAGGTATACAAGTTGGCTTGCACCTTCTGGTGACCCATCCTTGCCAGCAGAGTGGGGAGGCAGCCCACTGAGGTACCCAGTGGACAGTTAGATTTCTGCTGGAAGTTTTATGTAGGGGAGTTCGGTCAGATTTTGGCATGGGGAGAAGGGTGTGGCCTGGGACCTAGTATGAGAGGGAGGTTGCTGGCCACACCAATGGTGTGGTGAAAAGGACCACCGGCATTCAGACATTGATGAGCTGGTTGGAATGGCTTCCCTATAAACTCTAACCAGCTACACCACTGTGTAGCAGAGGTTCCCAGACCAGCCTGGGTCAAATTCTCCTCAAGCCCAGAGAGCTCACATAAGACTCCTGCTCCCACTTACTGGTTTTCACCTAAGTGATATCTGTAAGCTCGTCCTATGTGCCTGGCACTATTGTGGGTGTTCTACAGGAATACAGAAGAGGTGGCCTACACCATGAGTAGTACACTCCGGTTGAATAATCAAAACATTTAACACATTTTTGGGAAATTTCTTTGCTACTTTGTGAACCATCTGTAAGAGGACTACAGGGAAGCCTAACAGCAAGGACTTTGGGGCACTACCTTTGATATTCCCTTACACAACAGGGTGGTCGAGATATGTATTTGGTTATAACAAATGCAGTCTCTGACAAAACTGATGAACCCACCTTGGTGAAGTGTAGGATCTACAGGAGGGCTGAGGTTGGCATGGTAGTGGTCTTTGAATGCCAGCCTTGGGAGCTGTTGGAGGGTTCTGGGTAAGAGTGACGTGACAGTTTAGAGCAGAAGATGGAGAACAATGGAATTGGGCCTCCTCAGAAAGAGATGCAATGGGATAGGAGCAGAGTCATGGCCAGGCATGAGCTCCTGACTTAGGCCCAAGGCAGGCCTCGAAGGAGATCATGAGATTAATTGCAGACATCATCAGCCTTGAAAGATGTAGGATGGGTTTCTTATCAACTAATCTCATCTTGTATTTTACAGATTCAGCCAGTTATTGAACAAACCTTTCCTTTTTCTAAAGTTCCGGAAGCCTTCCTGAAGGTGGAAAGAGGACACGCACGAGGAAAGACTGTAATTAATGTAATTTAAATAAATGCTCTGTGCAGTTAGTAATTGTTGGCTCTCTTATTTGGTGAGTGCTTGTGGTCCAAACAAACTTTTTCATTAGTCAAATCCCTCAAACATTTTTCCAGATTAGAGTATAAATTTCATGATTAAAAAAAAATAAGCACACCTTTTTTAGTCAGTAATTTGTCAGTAATTGATACAAAAATATCAGCACTTGGACTTGTCTCTAGCCAGTGAGAAATGCACATTATTTTCTTTAGGCTGCTCTTTGCCACCAGCTTTGAAGATTGCTATGGTGCCTTCCTGCCAGCTCAACCATGTCTTATCATCTTAATGGATGTGAGATCCTAAAACTTTTGGTATGTGGATGGATACTGGCATAGAGAAGTTATTAAAAGTTAGTTTCTTTTTAAATTCATCACTGAGCACCCTTCTAACTGGTGGCATTGTTTGGATCTGAAATGTTGCCAACAGCTTGTGTGCTGAGGCTTGGTCACAGGCCTGTGACCGTATGGGCAGGGGTAAAGCCCTAAGAGGCAGGACCTGGTGGGAGGAAGTTAGTCATGGGGGCATCCCTTGGTGGGGATCCTGGGGTCCTGGCCCTTGCTTCTCTTTGCTTCCTGGCTGCAGTAAGGTAAGCCTCTTCCTCCATTCACTTCCACCATGATGTGTTGCCAAAAGCAGTGGAGCCACTGACCACAGACTGAAACTTTCAAAACCATGAGCCAAAATAAATTTTTTTCCTTATAACTTGATTATCTCAGGTGCTTCTTATAGTGACAGAAGGCTGGCTAACACAGAAAATTGCTGCCAGAAGTAGGGTCTTAGTTGTGACTGTACTGGCAGTGTCTCAGAAGTCTTCAGAATAGGTTTGCCAGGGGAATTTGGAAGTTGGAAGAAGCAGGATATGGTAAGCCTGGACTGGCTGCAAGTGGAGCTTATAGTGTGATTCTGTTGAGGGCTCAGGTGACCACAGTGCTGATAGAAATGCAGGAAGTAAAGGCTGTGCTAATGAGGCTTGAGATGGAAGAAGAGATTCTATTGGAAATTGAACTAGAGGCTACTTGTATTGCAGTCTGGCAAATAAGAACTTGGTTACATTTTGTCCCTGCCCTGATACTTTTGTGTGGGGCTGAGTTTAAAGGTGATGGGTTTATCTGGTGGGAGAAATTTTGGGTTTTGGTGGTTTTGTTTTTTTGGTACCGGGGATTGAACTCAGGACCTTGACCTTTTGAGGCAGGGATGGAACCACTGAGCTAAATCCCTGGGCCATTTTGTTTTGTTTGACGGGGGGTCTCACTATGTAGCCCAGGCTGGCCTTGAACTTGCATTGATTCTCCTGTCTCAGCTTCCTGAGTGCTGGAATTACAGGGGTGTGCCACTGAGCGTGTGTTTTTTTTGTTTTTTTTTTGAAATTGGGTCTCGCTATGCAGTTCAGGCTGGCCTTGAACTCACTATGTAGCCCAGGCTGGCCTGGAACTCACACCAATCTTCCTGCCTCAGCTTCCTGAGTGCTGGGATTACAGGTGTGCGCCACCATGCCCAGCTGGAAGAAATTTCAAAGTAACACACCTTTCAGGCATCAGATCTTGCTATTTTTAGCCAAATTTACAAAGAAAATCAACAAAGACAATGGAAAATTGGGAAAACTTGCATTTTTCCAGAAAAGGAGTGTATGCCACCAAGGTGGGGGCAGTTGCTAATGAGATTGGCACTATTAAGAAGAAGCCAGAAAAAAAAAAAAAGAAAAAGAAGAAGCCAGGTACACTGGTACCTCAGTTCACAAACAGTTCTTTCCACAATTCTGGTCGCATGAATTGGATGAGAACTGAATCAAATTCAGTGGTTAGGTAGGTTCAATGCTGACCTTATGGGGAAATTTGATTCAGTTCCCATCCAATTCATTTCGTGACCAGAAGCATGGAAAGAATCGAGTTTGTGAACGGAGGCACCACTCATTGTACATTGTGCTGGAACAAGAGGAGACCCCACCCATCACAGGCTCAAAGATTGTTTCCTTGAGGTTTGTTTCCCAGTATTCAGTTGTCAGGCACTCAGGCCACTGTGGCAGTGACTCTAGTGGCAGCAGACCTTGGCATTGCCCACAGGATGCTGCCTTTGCATCCATGAAAAATGCAAGCGTCGAGGGGTCATGGAGGCTTCCAAGATTTCTAATGAAAGCCTGGGAGCCCAGGCAGTGTGTGGCAGGGTCAGAGTCCCTGCAAGCATCCTGACAGCATGATGCATGAAACCAGAGTTGCAGTGGAGATGCCAGGAACATGGAATCCCTGAGGGGGGGCTGCAGGTGGCAATCAGCCTAGGAGACTGGCCACATTGGATGCAGTCAGCAAGGCTACAAAAGTGGGGCTACCAAACCCTTCAGTGCTCATATCATTCATGGCACACCACTGGGTGCACTGATGCTGGATGCAGAGGTATGGGATTTAATGTTGATCATGTTGGGTTTGGTCTTGTTTTGCTCCATTCCTTTTTTAACCCCTATTCTTCCTTTTGGAATGGGAATGTTTACCCTATATCTTTATATCTTGTAACTTGATTTTTACAAAGGCTCACAACTAAGGGTTTGCCTTGACTCTCAGATGTCAACTTTTGAGCAATGCTGGAACTGTTAAGGTTTGGGAACTCTTGAAGACAGACTGAATGCATCTTGCATTGTGACACGCACATGAACCTTCAGGGGCTGGGATGCAGTGCTGTAATCTGGATTGGGAATGTCTCCCAAAGGCCATGTGTTGAAGGCTTGGCCCCCAGCCTGTGCCCGTCAGGATATGATGAGACCTTGAGAGACAAGATGCAGTGGGAGAAAGTTAGGCCATCAAGGGCCTGTCCTTGGAGAGGATGTTGAGACCCCAGCTCCCTCCTGCCCTGCCTTGAAGTCAGCTTCTTCCTCCACCTCTTGCTTCCAGCATGATGTGCTGCCTTGCCCAGGGCCAAAAGCAACAGAGCCAACTATGGACCAAAACCTCAAACCGTGAGTCAAAACAAGCCTTTCCTACTTGTAAGTTGAATGTCTTGTTTTTTTGTCACAGTAATGGAAAGCTAACACATTGCCTTTTGTTCTCCCTTTTTTTTTTTGGTACTGGGGATCGAACTCAGATCCTTGTGCTTGTGAGGCAGGCGCTGGAACCACTGAGCTAAATCCCCAGCCCCTATTCTCCCTTTCTAATGTGGTTATCATAGTCCTCAAAGTTCCAAATCTCAGGGCTGGAGAATACACTCAGTGGTAGAGCACTTGCCTAGAATGTGCAATGCCCTGGCTTTGATATGCAGCAACACAGGAAGGAAAGAAAAAGTAGTTCTGAATTGCTGAGGGTCATACTTAAAAATCTGGCCTATGATTCATTTATTTGCTCTCTTTAATAGTTAAAGGTGAGGCTAAAGGCTCTAATTTTTTTTAACTTTTACCTTTTATGTAAGGGTTGGGCCTCTTTCAGTAGTTAAAGCATACTTTTCAGAGAGCTCTTCTGTGTCAATTACCACCATTTCAGTAGAGCCCAGTCCACCATTTTGTGTCTTTATATGCCTGCATTTAGGTGTCTCACCAATAAACCTGTCTGTGTGCACTTTTCAATCTACTCTCCATTAGTTTAAGGTATTTTTTATTTACTCTTATTCCATTATTGCACCTTAGATATTTGCTTCTAGCTTTTGACGTGGACCTATTTTGAGAAATACTCAGTTTACTGTTACTAGACACTCATGTGGAAGGATACTGAATGTGGGCTTTTCTCTAATTTGTTTTGAGTACAAATTTATTTCAAAAGGAAAAGAATGCCTTTTCATCGTAGATACCAGCTGCTCTTAATTTCATCTGGAACAGTCTCAGCTCTTGTCCCTGAGATTCCCATGCTGCATCCAGCAGTCAAATACTCAGAGGGCCCGTAAGCCAGGACTGCACTCACCCTCTCTGCTGTTACACTAGGACCCCTTGAACCTGCCTCGCCCTAAGCCACCAGACCCTGACTCTCTTGGTAGTGTTAGGTGGGTGGTTCTGAATGGATTTGGAGATGCTGTCAATATAGTTAGCCAGAAACAAGTTTATTCCAGAGAAACTCCACACAGGCTATTATAGAATATCTTAACCCACCATATTGTAATGATACAGACAAAAGGCCTAAAATGAGAGCTACACAAACATGTAAGAACAAGACAGGCATGTTGAATGCTGTCATGGATGTACCAATATCTTAGAACTGAAGGTAAACTATTCTCATGGCCACAGTTGCCTACTGTGGATATCAGGGAGGATCACATTTCAGAATTAGAAACGTGCTTCAACACATAAAATGGAAACAAGATTTGTTCTACTTGAGACAAGAGCACCAGTATTTAGTGTTAAGGACAAAGAGAAAGAATGTACTCGAGGAAATATTTACCAGTTTTGTTCAAAACTACAACTTGACAGAGCAACACATTATGGGCCAGTGTACTGCCAACAATTAAACGGTTTCATTGCATTTTTGAATCCCTTAGTGCATTTCAGGCACAGAGCCCTTAGGGTTTCCTCCTTTACTTTCTGGTGATGATTGCTGATCGTCCACTAAGCATCACACACCTCTTTCTGCTACTAGAAGGAAGTGAGCTCAGGGCTGCAGTGCCTTGGATACCTGCCTGTCCTACCAGCAGTAATGGCTGGAAATTAGGCTAGAAGTTCTGAGTTTAGCAAAAAACTGTAGAATATAGCTTCAGTACATGGTGTAGATGAGTAAACTGGGCTGTGATAATACTGTTCCAGTAGCAGCTGTAAGAAAGGCACTGAACATTCACTGTGACATCCTAGAACAGCCCCTATAATAATCCAAATCCTGCTAATAAATGTTAGCAGATACAGTCTGAACTTTCATAAGTTTACTAGTTTTTCAATATTAACTGAAAGAAAATAGTATTGTTGTATGAGTGCTTTACATTTTTGAACATATAAGGCTTTCCCACTTTGCCTTCCAGAATAATTAGTAATTCCAGAAAACATTAAGGCCAAGAACAAGTGTACAGGCCTAATAAAGCATTCCTCTAAAATGGTAAATGGTATCCTACCATACAATGGAGGCGTTTACCGTTCCCTTTAAAGTGTAAAAGATTTGTAGGTCCACAGAATTAGTAAATTTGGTCCTGTTCTCTTCTGTCACTATCTTTGGAAATAATTTAAAATGTACACAGTCTCGAAGTCTTAACACCTTTAAAAACACCTAAAGGCTGCTAATGAGGCAACCTGTTTAAGTAGTTACTGAGGCAATGAAAACAAGAAATGAGGGGAGGACTAATTATTGGTTTATCATTCTCCCAGTCAAGGCAGAATGACTTGGGACTGAGATAGGGAGTCGGCCCACTTTCTACTTGGCTCGTCCATCAGCACTGCCCTCCTGTGCTTCTTAATTAAGTGGCTGATGACTGCAGAGTCCTCCAGAAAGGCTGCTCTTCTGTTCTTTGTTCAGATTTATAGGACCATGGCTTCCCACACTTGTGTTAGCTTCTCTTCATTGACTGTGTTGAGGATGATGTGATTTTGATCATACTGTGAACCCCCTGAAAGAAAGGACAGTAAGAAATGTGCAAACTGCAGGGACAACAGCAGACAAGAGTTTATCCCAACAACTGCAGAGCAAAAGTGAACAGTGTAAAACAATGTGCTCCACGGAAACAGCAGGGAGGGATGCTCCACACGCCTGTGGGTCCATCTCAAAGTCACTCTGAGGCTCCTATTTCTACTCAGTTCTTTTTTTTTTTTTGGTACCGGGGATCAAACTCAGGACCTTGCACTGGTGAGGCAGGTGGCAAAACCACTGAGCTAAATCCCCAGCCCTCAGTTCTTATCAGTCACTCTTAAAATGCCTGAAATTGGAGCAACAGGGAAAAGGAAAAAGGCTATACAATGTATTCAGTAGTAAATCACGGATTTGAGATCCTAGCAAGTAGTAATCAGGCAAACCTGGCCGTAGTGGAAGAACAGTAGGAGTAGCTGTCGGAAGCAACAGGTTTTACCTGAGTAATGAAAACTGGCTTCATTAGGTCAAAAGGAGGGAGGGTTAAATGACATTGAGAAGTAAGCACAGGGACAAGAGGCACTCCCACTAGTGAGAATGGAATTGGTATATAGTGATTCTATCATTTAAGAAGCTAAAGAACACTGCACTGTAAAACCAGTATCACGAATCCTTAATTCTTTCACCAGAATATATGTAAGACTTTCCAAGGGTACTTACTAGAAACATCATATTAAAAACAGCCTCATGGCCTCTTTCAATGGAGAAGTCATTAACAAAGGAAAGGTTATCTGATTTTTTTTTTTGCCACTGTATGATAAATATACTTTCAGATAGTTTTTTTTAGCAAACCATCTGCACCAAGGCTCTACTCCCCAGAATACATCCTTAGGCCAACAAGAAATAAATATTCTTCTCTCCTTTAATGCATTAGAAGGTAGCAAAAGTCTGATAATTTATGAACCTAGGTAATTGGAGAAGGAAATACAGTATGGAATACAAGGGTAAGGTGCCTGGGGCCTTCTACATGTATATTTATGAGGGGAAGAGAAGTTTCCACTACCAGCAAATCCTACACTCTCCCCTACTGTAGCACAACGTACTCCACTGAGATTTCAGAAAGTACTAAGGGCACAATGCCTTCTTTTTACATTCTTTAGGATTATAGTATGTTAACAGACTTTTTTTGTATATAGTACATTAGTTCTAATTAGAATCCTAAAGACTAGAAAGGTCTTGAGAAAGAATTTGATTCATTCTTTTGCCTTTGGGAAAAACTTAAGTCATTTCAGACTTTTTTCCCTTTATTTGGTAACCCATGAGTTTGTACTAGACTACTTGATAGTACGGGGCAGCTAAAAAGTACAAGTGACTAAAGCTGAAGCACAAACATTCCTCTCCTGACGTCTATTGGAAGACTGGTAGGAAGACTCTGCGTACTTGGTTGAACAGTGTGAATTTATCCCCCAGTACTGCTTGTCCTACCTTATCTGTCACCTGTGTGTTCTGAGGTCCAACATCTACCTGCCAACAGAGCTGGTTACATTTGAATTCTTGGGAAGTGGGACTGAAGAAATTTTACAGTTTATATAAAAGAAATCACTAGTATTCCCTTTAACAGTTTATAATAGGAAGATAATACTTAGAAGTTATCTTTTCAGTATCTGATTTTACATAGTTTTCTGATTCATTTGCTTATAGTACAATCCTGCCAGACCTTTGATGTTTATTTTTAAAGTGGCCATGAATCAGCTTCCAATGTTGTCCTAACATACACAGTCTGGAATAATACACAAATGTCTACCCAAAAACTCCTTCCTCAAACCCGAGAAGAAAGACACTACATCTAATAATCACAGCAATTTCATTTCTTTTTTGGTTTTTTGAGACTGGGTCTTGTTATGTGATGTGGTTCAGGCTGGCCTTGAACTCATAGTAATCCTCCTGCCTCTCTCTCCTGAGTATTAGGGTGTGTGCCACCACACCTGGCTAATCTTCTGGCAATTTCAGAAAGTAACAAACTGTTTGGTTGTAGCTAATGAAAACTGCCAGGTGCTATGAAGTGCACCAACTGTGTTTGCCTTTCCTGACACACGACACAGGCTGTGTGGCCCTGTTCTCTCATGCCCAGAAGGTGGCATCCTTCTCCCACATTCTGATAAACTCAAATTCAGCGTAACAAGAAATGAAATGGCCACTGCAGCTGCTGTACTAAACTCTGAGTGTTTGTTAATGTACAGGACACCATCCTTGCTCAGGGGCCACAGGACTGATGTAGAGTACAGTTTAGGAAGGAGCTTTGAAGAGTTACAGTGAACACCCAGGTAGGAGTCACACAGCAGAGGCCCTGGTTGGGGAGTACCCCTCTTCACTTTGGCAGCCCAGTGTCTAAGGTGGAGCCTGCCACATGGTACCCAGTGAATACCACTGAAAGAAAAGAAATGTTCTGTCCCAAGATTTCAGTAGCCTTAACCCTGGACAGGGGAAGCTGGTTGCACCTGTACTTGTAAGAAACCCGAAGGTTTGCTCAGCCTTTTGGGGGGACTACACTAATCTTTCTAACTTTTCCTCAGAAATTCCGTTTTCCCAACTTTATCACATTTGTTTTCTCTGGGGATTCTGAAAACTATCTTACAGAGGCTGAGCAGGGCTCATGCCACAAAGTTAATAACAATGAAGGCCTGGGTCACTAGTTCTTACCCAGATTGAACTTTAGGTTGGTCATGTATAAAATGGGTATGTGTCTATCCACATTCTGAGAAAAGTTTGTACCAAACAATGTGATGGAGTTATACTGTATATTGCTATTCATTTTCTGAATGTTGCACTTATTTTCTCATATCCGGGAGTCCTACTTGCATTTTAAATTTTTTGGTTTCCATCCAGCCTATAATTACATTGCTTAATTCTACAATTACATTGCTTAATTTGTGTTCCCTAAATGTAGTATTCTGTGTATGTGTGTAAGTGTGTTAGCCACATGGAGATTACCAGAACTTACAGGTACACTTCTCCCAAATGTAGTTACCTAAAATTCCTGATGAAATGTTCAGGCATCATTTTCCATTAGTGAAGTGTTTTAAAAAACCAGACTACAGCTAGTTCTTTACCCTAATGTCTTAATTTTTAATGACAGCCTTAGCCTACAGCCCTGATTAAAGAACCAAATCAAATTTCTCCATAAGGTTAACGCCAAACCTAACCATTGAATTGATTTAGTTCTTGCTCAATTCAGTTTGTGGCTGGAATCATGGAAAGAATAAAGTGGTACCTCAGGTCACAAACTTAATTAATAGTACATTCAGTTTTCAAAAGTTAAGACAAGATTTTTCCTTAACTAAAGAAAGGCATGTGACAGCTGGTCATGGTGGTGGACACCTGTTATCTTAGCTACTCTGGGGACTAAGTCAGGAGGATCTCAAGTTTGAGGCCAGCCTGGTATCTTAACAAGATCTTGTCACAAAAAGGGCTAGAATGTAGCTCAGTGGTAGAGCACTTCCCATGAGTGAATGAGCCCCCAGGTTCCACCCCTAGCACCACAAAAAAAAGCATATTACAATAAAAGAAATGATCCTTACCTTTGATATCTAAAACTAAGTTTGGCTTCAACTTGCTGTAGATTCTGCCATCTGACTTCATGCACCAGAACTGACTGTCGACATTTTGGTCAAGCGCCAGGCCTAGTTTAGAGCCCGAGGTGACTAGGCTGCCCACGATGGTCAGGCAGCAGTCTTCTGCTATCTGCTTAATGGAAAAAGTAAAGTGTCTTAGAGAAGAATATGTACTTAAGTCTCATAGTAGTTAATGATTTTTAAGTTATCTTAGCTTCTTTTCAGGGCTTCTTTTATTCCATGAGGCATTTCAGCTTTTAGACAGAATCACTAGCACCACACAACTAATATTTTTGCTCTTTATTTCAGATAACATGAGTGATGGAAAGTTCTCAATTCTTGTCCATTATAAGACTTCTGCCCTTTGCAAGAGTCTCTGTATTACTATTAAGCCCAAGGACATGAAAACTGCCCACCATACACTTTTCCCTATCAGAAGTGACCGTGATCTGGGGCTGGGGGTGCAGCTTAACCTCCCCCCACATGGCCTGACCCCCTGGGCTATCACTGCAGTTTGGAGCCTAACAGACCATTTATCACTGTAAAACTTGAAATTGCATTTACTAGCTTCTTTTGTCTTTCCTTCTGATAAATGTCCCAAATTTTTTAAGAAGACATGCTATCCAGCAATGAAAAGAAAATACAAGCTCACTAGAGAGTCCTTTAGTGCAGAGGTTTTTGGAGTGCTTCTCTAAAATGAATCCACCCTTAATATACAGTCTGCCAAAAAAAGTATACATACTTCAGGGAAAGAAACATAGTATGTTTTTTTCAACAGACGGTATTACTATTGTGGGGGACCCTAGAGGATGTCGTATATTGGAAAAAACTCACTACACTGTTGGCCCTTAGAGAAGAAATTGAAAATGCATGTGCAGCAGTCTCAGTGACCAAAGTAACCCAAGCAGCCATTTGCCATTCTAATGACTGGAAGCTAATGGCCACCATTTTGAGGACCTTTTGTAACTACAGAGCCAAAGGTAACATATTAATCTCATTTCAATACATTTAGTATTAAAATATTTATACAAATTTTTCTTTTCCTGAAGTGTGTATACATTTTTTGGCAGACTCTGTATAAACAGTACATGGCAATCATATGCCAATAACACATAATGTTATTTTTTTAAAACTGTATTAAAACTATACTATTCTGCCAGGCATGGTAGTGCCTACTTCGAGCCCTGAACTCAGGAGGTTAAGGCAGGAGGATTACAAGTTTGAGGCTAGCATGGGCAACATTGTAAGTGCAAGTGAGACCTTATTTCAAAAAAGAAAACTATTCTGGGCTGGGGGTGCTTGCCTAGTCTGCTCAAGGCCCTGGGTTTTATGCCCAATACTGCAAAAAATTAAAAAGTGTACTGTTCTCTGAGATGAAACCATTGTGATCATTATAACATTCCATTTTTCCTCACTGGTCTACTGAATTCAAGTTGTCAAATAATATCACAGCAGTGTTGTAAGAAGCAGGCACTGAAGGCACCACTCTCTTGCCTTGCCTTCTCTTCACATTTCAGTATTACATCTGCCTCTCTTGTCATGCTCTTTCTTCCATGCACATCTGAACAGCCCTTTTGTTTACACAGGGGTGAATTCTCCCTCAAGCACACCAGCCCCAGGCCCAAGTGTGGTCTTTCTCATGAGGTTGTTGTAGCCTTCTGCTGATTCATGGCGCACCATGTTTTAAAAATAACAGGCACAAAAAGTGAAGCGCATAAAGTCTAAGAAAAAAGATACCTACAATAGAAGCATGAGCTTCTCTCATAAAATCTAACTACAGTGCACTTTTAAATGTCTGTTCTGGCAGGAGTGATGTGAGAGCGCAGTGGGTCATTTTCTACATACAGCATGAGCCCATAGGGAGTGGACTGTGGGGGGTTCCCTGGGACACCTCACCCTTCATTCTATGCTATTTCTATTACTATATAAAAATCAAGGATACAAATAGTCTATCTTGGTTCAATGCTGCATTCACACACCCTATTTTAAGTTCCTAAGACTGGTTCTGAACAGTGCTCCAGGAATTGTGAAAGAGCATCTATTTAAGGAAAGCTCAGAAGCATGGTAAAGTATTAAGAGACCCCATCTATCTAACCTTAAAAGCTCACCCTGCATTTGATGCATCCTTCTTGATAAATCCAAATCTGGTCATCAGCACCGACATCTTCCATGACCTGTATTCTAAGGAGCTTCAGATCCTCTAAGTTTCCATTGGTTGACATGAACAACCCTGTTGCTTTGTTTCGAAGTCTGAAATAAATTCGCTTCTAGAAGACAAAAGCCCCAGCAATAGTCACATACAAGGTGTGCTATTAGAAGCACTAAACAGCATTGATATTTGGAAGCCTCCAAAGTAAGGTATGGATCAGGAATATGCAATACCCACGAGTCTGCAAGGTTTTAAGATTTTCTCAATTATAAGAGTTTGACAAAATTTTAAAGTGCCTGGGACAGAGAACCTGCCTGTGGACAGCCCAGAGCTTGGGCCACTCAATGTCTGATGTTGGGTTTGACAGCATTTCTAGAACAGCTACTCTTGGTGCCACAGACTAAGCCCAAATATTGTACTGAAGGAAGGGAGCCAATTTCAAACTTTAAGTCAAGATTTAAAAGTTGTATTGCATTTACCAAAAAAAAAAAAAAAAAAATTATTTCAGAAAAAAATCTATTTACAGCACAAAGAAAAACATACCTGAACAAAAGGTCGTAGAGAACCTATTTGTTTACAGCCAGTGAATTCATACCAGTTAGGTACTTCTGCTGGTGACAGTAGGAACTGCCGGCCTCTGTAATTTCCATATTCATAAGTAATCCATCTGAAAAAAAGTAAGATAACTATAGGAGGTGGTAATTTCCATTTGATAATGACCTTAACAATTACATTTTTAGGGTACTTTTAATTTCTGGACTGAACCTCATGCTTTAAATAATGGGGAGGAAATGGAACTTTCTAGAACACTGAACACAGCCATTTCTTGACAAGTAGCAAAATTACAGCACACAGGTATTTATGCTAAAAAGATCCATTCTTAAGGAGAAATGGTAAGTTTTTTCCTCCAGTAAAGCAATGAAAGAGTCTTTTAGTAGGACTCCCCAGTTCTTCCTGAGAACTGTTCATAAAACCACCTCAGCTTATGGGTCGATATGGATCAGATTTGCAAAGCTCTTATTGTATGACACTTGTATTTGCTGAGAATTAAAAACTAGTAAATTTTGGGGGCTGGGGATTTAGCTCAGTGGTTCCGGTGCCTGCCTCGCAAGCATAAGGTCCCAAGTTCGATCCCTGGTACCCAAAAAATAAAAGCTAGTAAATTTGTGTTTAAAAAAGTAATCTTCAATCCAGAAAAAACACTAAAGCTACTCAGGCTCCTTCCACCCTGCATGACGCTGCACCCCTGAGATGCACACACAGAAGATGCATAAGCCACCCACGGTCCTCCCCCACTGACACTTTACATCAAGAAAGAGCGTCCTCCACTTCTAATCCTGGAACTCTTAAGATGTTATCATTTTAGCCATCTTATCATAAAATTTCACTAAAATCTACTGAAAAGGATAATACACATTATCCTACTAGCTTAATATTTCTTAAATATATTTTAAGTTAACAATGGTCCCCTCCAACATTTGATGCAGTTCAGGAAGACCATACCTATTGTTTTATTTAAAAAAATAAAAATACTTTCATAAAAATACTTTTTACATTGATGGTACTTACTCATTTTTATATCCTATCAAAATTACTGGAAGTTTTCAATCTTTCCAAGTTGACTCTTAATTACTTGCACAGCATCTCTCAGTCACTCCCAGTCAGCTCCAAAATGAAAAGAGCTGGGGTCTCAAAGGGACCAGAAAAACCAGGTCGTCCTCTTTCTTACTTGCCAAAAGAGTGCTCAATAAATTTGCTGTGCTGGGCCAATGTGTACAGACCATTCCACTAGGAAGTCTGAGTGGTATTAACAGCAAAGCCCAACCTTAAGGAGATGAAAGATACTTCCCACATGGCTTTCCCCACTGAGGAAAGTACACTATGAAGGTGTCATCCTTAACCCTCACAGAGAATGAGGCATTACATATCAGTTTGCTTAAGATAACGTAGGACAGAAACACCTGATAGAACTTTACAGTCAGGCACAGAGAGACAAATATTGTATGATCTCACACATGAAATTTAACAAAAGTGAACTCCAAGAAGTAGAGTAACTGAAAGGTGGTTACCAGAGGTGGTAGGGAAGTAAACAGGGTGATGTTGGTTAGTGGCTATAAAGTTAGTCACATAGGAGGACTAAATTCTGTCCTCTTGCATAGTAAGGCCACTACAATGAATAATGTATATTTTAAAATAGCTAAAAGAAAGGATTTTAAATTGAGTTACCACAAAGAAATGATAAATATTTGAAACAATGGATGTTAATTACCCTGAATTGATCATTTCATATTATAAATATGTATCAAAACATTACATTGTACCCCATAAATATGTAATTATTATATGTCAAAACTTTTAAAAAGCTCAATTTTTAAGATTATCTGTTTTGCCTTGTGTGGTGGCAGGCAACTGGACTCCTAACTTTTTTTCTTTCTTTTTGTTTTTTTTGAGACAGGTTCTCACTATGCAGTTCAGGCTGACCTTGAACTCACTATGTACCCAAGGCTGGCCTGGAACTCACAGCGATTCTTCTGCCTCAGGCTCCCCAGGCTCCCAAATGCTGGGACTACAGGCGTGCACCATCACGCCCAACTACTCTCAGCTTTCTACACAGGCTGAGGCAAGAGGATGACTTGAGCCAAGAGTTCAGGGAAGCCTGAGCAACAGAGCAATACCTTGTCTCTTAAAATATTTTAGCCAGGCATGGTGGCATGTGCCTGTAATCCCAGCACTCGGGAGATTGAGCTCAGCAGGAGGAATGCCATGAGTTTGAGGCCAGCCTGGACTACATAGTGAGTTCAAGGTCAACTTGAACTACAAAGTGAGACCCTGTCTCAAAAAACACCCCCAAATTATTGGATTAACAATTTATTGGATCACTTACATGCCACCAATAACCCGAACAGAACGTATTTGTGTGTTGAATCCCAGGGATTGGAGATTAACTATTTCTGCATTAAGTTCAATCTTTTTTCCTTTTAAGTTTTCTCTCTCAAAAAGAATAATTGTTGGCTCGGAAAATTCCTGTATAGGAGCAAAAATAACGCATTATTCATCTGTTAAAAATTTAAAGCTTATGTGAAAATAATCTAGTTACATGGACCAAGCATAAGACCTGCAGATGTGACTTGCTTGTAATTCCCTTTCCCAAGCCTTTACATGCTCTGAAGCTGAAGAGTGGAAGAATGGAGGTGCAGGAAGTTTTTTCATTGCCTATAAAGGCAGGTTAAAGTCCATCATGTTATAAAGAAGCGGGAGGAATATCCCAGGCCAGAGGAATGGCTGTATGTGTGAAATTCAGCACTTTCAATGGAATTAATTTTTGGCTTAGACTTCTTTGGTGGGACAAGGAGGGGCTGGAAAGTCATGGATGTAAGTGGCGAGGTCCAAAGGCTGTGGCAGCCTGGTGTCTTAATGGTACAGTGGCACTGCCTGATCAAGGAGCCTGCAGTCTGCAGGTTTTTTTCTGTTTTAACTGGCAATAAGACAGAATTCTGTATATTCATGTTCCCACAACTTGGAGGAGTCATTGTCAAAGGAGAAAAAATAAACAAAAAACCGGGGTAGATGCTCCATGTTCAAACTGTCAGTCATTTTAAAGAGAACAGCACACAAGTCCACTGATTTTCAGAAAAATGAATTTCTGACCCTAGACTAAGCTCTAAAGATAATACTCCTAAAATCATAAATGAGGGCTGGGGATTTAGCTCAGTGGTTCCGGTGCCTGCCGCGCAAGCGCAAGGACCGGAGTTCGAGCCCCAGTACCAAAAAAAAAAAAAGAAAGAATAAAATCATAAATGATATAGCAAAAATGCATACGGGGGTTACAATTATTTCCCTACTGCCTAAAATATGTGGCAAAGGTGTGGCATTTTATGGCTTCATTTGTGGCTTGTGCCTTGACATGTAGGGAAGACTGTCCATTGGTAAACAGAGCACATTAGTGTGGGGCAGAGTGCATGGTCTAAGAATTTGGTTATATAAGCACACAAGGAGGTAGCAGACAAACTGCAGTAGTAGTACTACTTTGTATGTGTACTGCATTGTCCGCTGAGATGGCATGCCAAAAATGTGTTAAACACTCAAGTTGAGTATCAAAAAACTAAACAATTTTGAAGTATTAAATTACAATTAAAAATGTACAGGGCTGGGGATGTAACTTAGTGATAGACCATTTGCACAGTATGCACAAGGCTCTGGATTCGATCCCCAGCACCACACACACAGTCTCAATGTGGGTAAAATCTCCATTTCTTGATTAAGAATCAAAATTAAAAGGTAATTATCTCTAAGTATCTGAATAATGTGAGTATACATGTCAATTTCTGTTGAGGGGTGGCATTTGGAAATGTCAAATATATATTGTAGATAGCTAAAAGCTATCAAAATGTCTCATTACTTGTAAGCTAATGAATCTTACTACATTATTCCATATTTCACTGCCACTATTTTTTTTTTCTCAGTACTGGGGATTGAACTCAGGACCCTGTGCTCACCCGGCAGGCGTGGCACCACTGAGCTACACCCCTGGCCCTTCTGCCACTATTTTCATGTCTCAATAGCATTTTATTATTTAAATAGGCAGGGATAAAATAAAGCCAACTCACTTGTTCCTCCTACCTTTAAGACTAAAATCAACTATGTTAAAAGCTTTTTTTGTTAGGCGTGGTAGTGCACACCTGTAAACCTAGCACTCTGGAGGCTGAGGCAGGAGGACTGCTACAAGTTCAAGGCCAGCCTGAACTAGAGAGCAAGATCATCTCAAAAAAACAAACAAAAAAAGCTTTTTATGAGGATCAGCTACCCAAGACGATTTAAAACTTCTAAAACAACAGACTTAAATATTTAAACATTATCTTCAATTTTATTATATTAAATATTGCTCTGACTGCATTAAAATGAAAGTTTTCTGTCCAAAAGGGGGTGCTATAACCTAGATTGGTACATAGGGGATAACCTGGGAAAAATCATCAGATTACAAATCTCTAAAACACTAACAAAAGACTAAAGAATTACAAAGAATTTCAGCAAATCTGTAACAAAAGATACAGGAAACTGACTTAAAAGTTGGGCAAAGAATATAAATTGCCACTTCACCAGAGAACCCAAATGGCAAGTGTACGAGATACCTATCTCCCTAAAGTGAGGTTACAAATTAGCCCAACAATGAGAGTATATACTTTCTACCCATACCCTCAAACTGATCAAACCTGGCCACAATATGAGAAGCAGGAATCCACCTGATTCTCGAGCAGCAGTCTAAAGTGGGGTCTGGCAGCCCAGAATGGAATCGTATCTGCACATGTGCAGTCCAACCCTCCAGCTCTGGATAGGTGAGACACTCCCACACAGCTCCACAGGGATATGCACATGAGGACTGAGTAAGTGGCAAAGGGTGGTGGAAGACTTGTACAGTTAGAACCAACAAACTACCTGCACATACAGCAAAATGGACACCTCTTCACATTTCTGAATGTTAAATACAGTATGTGTGTAGCATAATGTTTATATAAGTTAGCCTAAATATAGATTTTAAAAACATACATTTTGTAAGAATATTTAAGCTGTATCCCCAAAACACAGGTACCTGTGCAGGGGAGAAGAATGAAAGAAAATACTCTGCACATCAGGCAGGATTAGGAGAAAAAAAGGAAAGGGGCCTTTTGATCTAACCCTTCATGACTATGGGCCATGCCAAACCTAATGACAGGTGCCGAAAGTCTGAGAAGACAGCAAACAGAACAGTTCATATGTTATACACCTAAATAGAGACCAGAAGTTACAAGATGGAAAGCTCTACATCTGTCTTTTTCCCCCCTGCCTCCAACTTTAATCCTTAAGTTCTGGCTGCTGGTTTCCTTGCTCTAAACACCAGCTACGGGAACCTTATATTTCTTTAACACTATATGCACACTGGTATACTTACAACATCTATAAACCGAAGAGATTTGAAAGTCGCTCCAGGCAAGCATCCCATTGCAGAGAGACAAGGATAGTGACCTTCTTCCAACACATATTGGTTACCAGAAAAATTTTCTCCATCATATGCAACCCAGCTACAACAGGAAAAACCACATACACAATATGCAATTTGAGTATTCCTATTCAAGAAGTTTGACTTAAGTGAAATTCTTATTTTGAGGCAGTAAAATAAACACAAGCCTTGTGGCTGTTCATTCTTCTAAAATATCTGGATATATTTACTGCATTTTATCTTGTGACCAATATTCATAAATCATTTAATAAACTTTCCCACCTCTCAACCTGCCTTGTTCCTCTCATGGGTGCCATGATGCTCCCACCAATGTAGCTTCAGGCCCTCAAGTCCTTTGCTTGACAAAGAATCCTTCAGCCCCAACACTAGTCAGTCACCAAGGTCTATTTGTCCCCCACTCCTCTTTATCCTCGTTTCTAATACCTCTGCACTGGACCAGGAGGCAGAATACCAGAGTGACTTAGGCAGTCACTTGGCCTCTCAGGGCCTCAGCATTATTGATAAGACGGTGATTTGCCAGGCTTCCCTAGATGAAGTTTGTGGGTGATGGTCTTTTTTCCCTTAAATTTAATAAGTGCTCACTGAGGTCTAATTGCACGTGAGGTATTTTTCTGTTGTTAGAGATGCAACAGAGAACAAGTACAGTCTTCAAGTTTATACTCTAGTGAACCAAGACAATAAATGAGCAACAAAAAATGTACATGTCTGGCAGTAATAAATGAAGCAGACTGGGGGATAAAAGGGAACTGGGATGGAGTGGAGATACAGGCTAAGGAACTGTGAAACTCTGCTGTTAGTCTGTGCACGTGAACACAAAGCCAGCGCTCCATCACTCTGTAGTACTAGTACAGTTTAGACCGAAAGGAGCTATGTGTTTAAAGACACACTATTATTAGGCTATGTTCCTCATCACCTTTTGGACAGACTGCTCCGAGGGTTTCCTATGTTTCACTGACCCTGGCCTCTCCCCTTTCTAAGGAAGCTTTTGTAAAGCTGTTACTTTTCCCTGTCTTGTGTTTCCATCACAACTCACATATATGCTCAGGGAGTCTCACAGCCTGATCCCATCCCCCCAGCTCACACTGGCTTTGCTCCGTGAACTACTTGCTGATGGATGAATTCTATTTCACCCATGAGTTGGCTCTGCCACTGCACTGTTGTACCTACCTGCTTCCTAAAACTCTGCAAGACTTGGTAGAAAATGAATCATCAATTTGACTTGTTGTCTCTTCAAAACTTTGACTTTGACCTTGAAACTGTGGTTCCGAAAACAAGTGAATCTTTGCAAAAGTAAAAAGAAACATAAAATTATTTTCCTAAACACATCAACACATTCAGCTTTTGCAATGAGAAACCAAACATGACCTGCTAACTCTTGTTACAGTAAACTGTTATGGATTTTGTACATCTTATAATTTTCTACTTCTACACTAGGGAAAATTAGAAACATGTTGACTCCACCATTCATGACTATTTCATTCAGAGACATCAAAAGATGACCCCAAAACAGAAGCAACTTTCCAGAGAACATCCTGTTGTTAACAAGCTGTGAGGCATTTAAAGCTTTATTGTGCCCAAAAGTAATTGTTCATCAGTTCTAACATTAACACTATATTTTGGAAACATATAATATAGTTTCACTCCCTCTCAATGGAAGATACTTGCTGACTTACTAGAATCATGCATATACCAATAAAGGAGGCCACAGTGTTGTTTGTGTCTCTATAATTATGGCTGTCTGAACATTTCCATTAAAAAGCCTAAGTAACAGATGTAATACTGCAGTTGATTTGAGACTCAGCAATGAAAAGGCTTGAGTGAACCATATAAAATATCTAATGCAGACCCAGCAAACATGAAAATTCTTTTGTATTTATCACAATAACTATACGTTCGAAATATAATCTTATTGATATAAATTTATTCAGTGTAATGATAAAATTCAGCTTCACATAAGAAAGAATACTTCATAAGAAATATCTAGATATGGGTCAGTGCTATTAAACATTAAAGTTAATTTAAATCTTATTTCGGCCAGGTGTGGTGGTGCACACCTGTAATCCCAGAACTTGGGAGGGTGAGACAGGAGGATTGCCATGAGTTCAAGGCCAGCCTGAACTATGCAGGAAGACCCTACATCAAAATAACAACCCCCCCAATCTTATTTTAAATATATAATTATATGTGCAAAGTCCTGGGTTTAATCCCTAGTACCAAAAAAACCCAAACAACAAACAACTGTGTTTTCAGGTGTAAAAATGGGTACGACTAGCAAAATGTCTCAAATGTTTAACATTTTTTAATTAGGTTCACCTTTTGAATGATAATCCCTTAATTATAGAAAACAGAGTATTTTAAAAGTTACCTGATTTTGTCTCCTGGGGCCAGCAAAAGCATCCTATAAAATTTTAAAAGAGAAAAAAAAAAATACAGCAGACATGTTAAAAAAGGTTTTTCTTCCAGACTATTAGTAATTACTGCTTAAGTAACCTCAGAATATTTTCTGTACCAATTAATATTACATGAACCAGAAGCACAATTAAAGAAATCCAAAATTCAGTTAAGTATTCACATATAAAAGTATAACTCCTTACCAAACATATGGGTTGAACAGAAGAGATCTTACAATTTTTGCCTCCCCAGTCCTCAAAAGTGGTGTAAAAGCCTTTATCAAGAACATACTGTTCTCCTGTGAAGTCAGGATTTTCATAGGCTACCCATCTAAAGAAACAAAAGCACTGGTTACCATTCACATTGTACATATAGACTGTCACTCATCTGGGTAAATATGTATCATACAGAAACTTTCATTTGTTTTACTCATCAGTAATTTTAATATTTGTCTTTCCTTAAGCTTTTGGAAATGGATTTGTGTATATGACAAATCAAAATGGTAGGCAAATCCAGGTGCAGTGGGGCACACCTATAGTCCTAGCTACCTGGGAGGCTAAGGTGGGAGGACCGTGAGAGTCCAGGAGTGTAAGACCAGCTTGGGCAACATAGGGAGACCCCTGTTTCAAAAAAAAAAAAGTGCAAAAAGTATCTTTATATGAATATTTTGGTATCTTCATTTATCAAAACCCTATTCCTTGAGGAAGCTCCAATGAAGATATTTCTCTGTATTTTTTTTCCAATTCTATTCCAAAGTAACAAACTGGACTTTCAAGAAGAACCTAGTTCTTTTAATAAGCAAGCAAGAATTCTTTTTATCAACTTTAAAATATATTTGCATAAAGATCTTAACAGGAAGCAGTTTCTGTTATACAACAATGCTGAAAAAAATGTTAAATGTGTATATATATAAATACATATATACATATATATATGTATGTGGCTAGGAGCAGTGGCACAGCCTGTAATCTCAGCTAATTCAGGAGCTGAGGCAGAAGGGTCCTAAGAGTGAGGCCAACGTGGGTAATTTAGTAAGGCCCTGTCTCAAAAATAAGGCTGGGGATATAGCTCAGTACCAATAACAAAACAACAAACAAGTATTTTGTTTCAAATAGTATTTTTAAAATAACACAAGTTTGTAATAAGCAAAAGTGAAGCAACTCACACAACCGTTAAAAACCAATCTCTTTGGAATGTTTTCATTTGTCACCTTTTCAGTGATCTATACCAGCAAAGAAAATCAAAGTACTTTATTGACTTTATTTCCTCTCCAAATATAAAGTCTTTGAAGGGAAAAAAAGATTTTTGGTTCTATTATATTCAAGAGATACTCAAGAGCTCCTACTCAGTGAATTCCTTGCTCTAATGACTCCCATAGTTTAAAGGAATAATGTCTGTGTATGTATTGTATTCAGACCTTTCCAAATGCTAACATAAATCACTTACGTAAGGAGGTACTCACATGCATACTTTATAGATGGAGAAATCTAAAGCTACAGGAAAGTTAATTCATTTATCCATTCAGTAAACACAGACTGTCTATTTGCCATGTTCCAGGAACTAGATGGCACTAGGAACACTAAGTTGAAAAAGACAAAATTCCTGCTCTCTAAAGTTTGTAGATGGGTAAGAAGCACCACAAAGGGTTATGTGGTGTTGTGAATGAGAAGTGACTTGTCTGCAGTGACACCGTGGCCACATGATTAAATCTGTGTCCTCTAAGGCTCAACAGGCTCTCTACTTTGTGACCAGCCAGGCCTATGCCCTATAAAGTTTCTTTGCATTTACTGTTCTATTAAATCATACCTCAGTCTGCATACTTCACTATTAAAGCAGATTCACACTTTAAAAATGCTGATTTAATAAAAAATCCAGGTATAGTCATTACTAGGAAATGAACATCCACCCAGGAGAAAAGGAACAGTGCACAAACCTCAACAGTTAAGTAGCCAGTGGCCAACATCTGTACACTCACCCCTGGCCAAGTGAGCAGAGAAACTGCAATGAACACCAGTCTCCTTCAGAAAATATCCACCCTATTTCAGAGCCCTATTAGCAATTTAAAAACTTATTCTTTAGCATCACAAACCAGGGAGTTAGGAGGCCTTGTTCCATCTGTGGCCCTGACATTAACTTTTTTTTTTTTTGGTACCGGGGATGGAACTCTGGACCTTGCGCTTGTGAGGCAGGCGGTGGAACCACTTAGCTAAATCCTGGCCCGTGACATTAACTTTTTAACTGTGAAGAGGTCCCTTAACCATTGTGAACATTTGTATTTTCAATTGTAAGGTGGCCAAGGGAGTTGGCCACAGTTCCAGTGCCGACCTGGTGAGGTTTTAGGGGCACGTGGGCACCTGTGTTGCTGCCTCTGCACACACAGCCTTTGGCCAGTCACACCTTAGGAGGCTAAAGAACGGAGCATGGAGCAGAGTGGGGAGTACTGCTATGTGTGAAGGGACTGCAGAGCAAGACAATCTACTTTACAAAGACCAGGGCTTTAAAACAAAGGGTGAGTTCTATCACAAAAGTTAAGTGTCCTAGGCAGGGCTCTGTGTCTGTTAATAAATTAGAAAACAAAAGGTTGAAGGCTTTTTTTTAAAACCTCAATGTACTGGGGGAAAAAAGCCAGTGAGGATGGAGAGATCGCATACTGCACAGGAAAGGAGGCAGCAACTGGACAAGTCCCAGGGGAAGCTCTGTCCATCCACTTTTATTTTTTCTGATGGTGGGGACTGAACCCAAGGTCTACTCACTGAGCTACATCCCCAGCCTGCGCACCACACTCTTGGCTTTTTTTTTTCTTTTTTAACAGTAGTACTCCTCTATTTTCTGATAAAACTAAAACTACTTGTAGGTAAATACCTAATATAGATAAGCCTATACAGTTCACTGAAGCTGAAGAAAACAATAAAAGAAAGCTACTTGAAGTAGTAATGTTCTCTGTACGATGCAGCCCAAAACGAATCTCCATGAATTGCATATGTGCTGTAAGGGGGGTTCAGGTGACCCAAGCCCCAGATTACAGAGTCTGCTGTACCTGTGGATCTAGTGTCTACTATACTTGGGACTTGTAAGAGAATTCCTCACTGGCCTTGTTCAAATGTATTCTGGACATGTGAATCAATGATTCTCTGTTTAAAGACTGGCAAGAGGAGGAAAGTGAGTCAACTGTAAGCAGTAGCAGGTCCCAGCCTGTGGAATAACTGTTTAGAATTTGAGGGCAGCAGGGCAAACCCACCCTTCTGTGGAAGGCTGAAGGAGAAGAATTTAAAAGAATAGCACTTCTATTTTTTTATCCGAACCCTGAATATATTTCATTCTGCTCTTTATTTTAGAAAAATTACCCCCGTATCCATTATCTGAGCAAGAGCACAGTGCAGACTTAGAAACTGATGCACAGGGCTATGTGAAGGACTTCTTTTAACGTCCCAACAAGAAATGGAATCCGGTTGCTCCACACCTCAGTGGTGTCATGAGCATCCTTCCCGGAGGCTGTCTCCATGTCTGAGCTAATAATGAGTTTACTGCCTGAGGAATCTATTGCCAATGTGATAGACAATGTTGTCCTCGGAGACCTTTTCACAGAACAAGAATTTCAAAAACAGTTTTTTCTGACTGATTTCCATGCTAAGAAATGACTAAACTAAAATACTTACCATTCAATCTAAAGCCACTAATAAAACCATTTTCCTTTGAAACTATTAAAAAACAAATAAGTTTGTCTTCCCCTCTCATCTTGGAACACCTTCATATCTTATAAGCCCTAACTCAAGTTCTTATGCCAAGTCTTGTCTGTCTTCAGACTGGAAATTAATTCCTCTGATGTGCCATTCCCAGAGCATTTAATCTCTACCTCTTCTGTAGCAGTAATTCCATTTTATATAAATACTATAACTTCTTTGAGGACATAATGGAATGCTCTGCACATACCAGACCTCAATAAAAATTTGCCAGATAACAAATAACAAGGAAGCAGCTGGCCCTGATAAGTACAGAAGCCCTTCCAGAGCCAAAGAATATAAAGAAAGTGGTCTGTACTTGTATGTCTGAATATGTACCACCTTTCCATTCTCTCCCCTACCAAAACTCAACTGCTACAAACAGAAAAAAACGAAAGCCTTAGCCAGGAAATGCAACCGGAAACAACTAAATACAGAAACATGTAAAAGCAACATTTTATAAAGGAAACTGATTACAAGTAAGCAGAGGCTGGGTAAAAAGGAAAGGAGACTGGCCCAGGGCACAACAATTCTACCTTTGCTAAAAGCATCAATATAGAAGTTCTGAAGGAATTCTACCCAGCACCCTTTGGCCTTCTCTGCTAAGGCAATGACTGGCCTACAACTAAAGGAACCAACATACCTGGTAAGTATCAAAATGCACAATTTCACCACACTGAAATATAGTGACTGTGGTCACTATATTTTTCTACTAAATAATTAGCTATTAAAGCAATCTAAAATAGCACAGAGCCACAGCCCCATTTCAAGGGACTTCTGCCTTTTGTAGACAGCCTGTTATTCTAAAATGACTGGACTCCAAAATAAGAACCAACAGAAGGCTGTTTCTGCTGAGATTAGAGGACCCGAAAGTTGCCGATGTCATTCTGCCAAGATGGCACCACAAGTAATAGCCTATACAAAATCTGAGCATGACTAACAGAAAAGTATATTACATTGTAGAGACATCTCAAATATCCAGGGTTACTTTGGGAGGAACCCCATGAAGTACAAATGGGTTGAGGTTAGACTAATTCAAATAGCTTGTGTTGCTCATGACATCAAAACACCTAACATAAAACACTTTCAACAGAACCAAGGTCAAATTATTTCATATAACCATTTAAGAACACTCTCATTCATAACAAATTAGAACACATGCCAGCCTGCATTATAAAAATAATTATGGGTATGGGTTGTAGCTCAGCGGTACAATATCTAGCCAAGCATGCTTAAGGGCCTGGGTTTGATCTCTAGCACCACAAAGAGAAGGGGAGGGTAAGGGAGGGAAGAGGAGGGAGGAGGGGAGAAAAAAAACCTCCCTGTAACAGGCATCTGCTGTTTCCACCCACCTGGCATCTGTCTTCACTATTTCTGACATCTCAGTCACATCTAAGTGGTCCTGTGGGATGGACGTTACAGATCAGCTCTAGGGATGGGCATATCACGCAGGCACAGCCACCTCCTTGCCTACATTAATGGGTTCAGACATGCACACGATCTGTGACTCAGGAATCAGAATCAAACTTGGGACCTCTGAGGGAAAGAAAAGCCCTTCCTACTGCAAGCAATGAGTTGGGACAACAAAAGCCAGATGTGGCCACAGGTCACCAAATGAAAAGAGCCCGCCTAAAATAGAACCAACATAGAAAAAACCCAGGCAAGAAATAGAGACCAAGTTCTGATGGTAGTGTTGATCCCATCTAACCTGCCATGCCTGCAGCCAAGTCTTTTCTAGGACTTTTCACTCATGTAAGCCAGTGAGTTCCATTTTTATGACTTAAGCCAATGAAGTCTGGCTTACCATCACTTGCCTCCCAGAGACAGAGTTTTAACTGGTCATCTTTTAATAAAAACTTGCTGTGCCATTAATAAAGCATTGAATTGCTAACTCTAGATACCCTGAAACAATTATTTTAACATTAAAGCAACAGTGAAGAAACACTGGAGCAGGTGTAGGACCACAAGAAAAATCTAATGGGACTTTGTTAGGTTAGCATTATTATTTGGGGTTTTTTTTTGGTACCAGGGATCGAACTCAGGACCTTGCACTTGCAAGGCAGGTGCTGGAACCACTAGCTAAATCCTCGGCCCAGCATTATTATTTGATTCCTAGCATAAGAAATTTATGACAAGCGAAGTGGATCTGTAGATTTCTATCATGATGCCCAAAAGCCCACTCCAACAATTTATCATGTGTAAACAAAAAATTATATGAGAAAAAAAATTTTTTTTGAAATAGTGTCTCACTGTGCAGTTCAAGCTGGCCTTGAACTCCCTGTGTAGCCCAGTCTGTCTTTGAACACCCACTGATCCTCCTGCCTCAGCCTCCCAAGTGCTGGGATTACAGGAAGAGAAATATTTTTAAAGCAGTTTTGAAAACAATAAGGTAGTAAATATTGTGTAACTGAATTGTTTACATATTTATTAATATTTGAATTAATATTGAGATAGTTACTGAATGACTACTCTGTGTCACAGACTCTACTAGTTTAGCACAAATCAAGGCAAAACCCATGTTTAAAATCCTGATTAGATTATTTTACTTACACTCCACTCAGTACATTAATAGACTGTGTCTTCATTCCATATCCGGTCTCCTTTAAATCAGCAACAATTCCTAATACATCAATAGTGGAACCTTTGGATCCAAAGTTTTTTTCACTGTACATTATCATGTGAGAATTTGAAAAATCCTATGAGAAAAATAATTTCAAAATTCAAAGGCTGGCCATTGAATCAGCCAAAACGAAGACCAAGTACTGGCCATTAACTTTTCTTTAACTTACACCTAATATAGGTCGCAAAGACTGAAGTTCTCTATTGTAACCTCCCCAATCTTTCCAGTCCTTGTATTCGCCTTCTTCTAGCAAATACTGATGACCTGTAAATCCAGGCTTCTCGTAAGCAACCCAACTGCAAGAGAAAGAATATGAAGGCACAGTGATTTTCAGACATTTGAATTTTTCCCACATACATGGCAATTTCATGGATAAATGTATATAGTTATAAAGGTAAATATAAATTTATGTTATTATACCACTGGAATTCTCTAAAATTTAGAAGAACCTGTTCCAAAAAACCAACGTAAGACATACACATCAGAATTCTGTAAAGGGGTCTAAGGGTGGGTGGGGGTGGGTGTGTGTGTGTGTGTGTGTGTGTGTGTGTGTGTGTGTGTGTCAACTGACTCGAACCTCAGCAAATGAAACCGGATAAACTGTCCTCAAAGAGTTAAATCATTATGAATTTTTGGCCATTACAAGTGTGTATGTCTACAGAAAAATGTGTAAGATCTGTAAAATGCAAAAGGCTCAAAATAATTAAAAAGAAACTACCTAGCAGCTCAGTAGCTTGGAGCATAATCCTAATAAGACTGCAGGTTTAGTCAGGCCTCAGGGCCAGTTTATCAGCCTTGCTGTTGGACAAACCCCAGAACAGTCCCTTCAACTGCTTTCTGAACTCTGGGTCACAACAGGCTGAGAACTTGGACATAGCTGTCGAAATTCATCATGCCACAGAATCAGAAACGTTGTCTTTGGCAGAAAAGTAGGACACATTCATTAGTCCTTATCACCTTATCAGTTAACCTGTATACTTACATGCCTCTCAGTACTTTCATAGACCCCACGGACATAACGGGTACAGGACCACCTCCGGTTGCTTCCTCTGCCTTGCCTTCCTCTGTGATAACACTACACAGTTCTGTTTCTAGTTCCACACATTGTCCTTCAAAGAAAGGCTTTTCATAAATAACTATCTACAAGAGAAATGAGATATACCAATAATTTGTAACTATCTCAACAGCTAACTACTAAATAGATCATTCAATATCATTAAGTCCTAAAACTCAAAATTTCCTAATCATATTTCTAAAAATTAAATAACAACTACTGATAAAATAGAAAAAAAATTAGACTTTTTAAATTCTGATGTGGAACAGTTCAGAGCTAAAGTTTAAACAGACACTTTAGGGCCGGGGATTTAGCTCAGTGGTTCCGGAGCCTGCCTCGCAAGTGCAAGGTCCCAAGTTTGATCCCCGGTACCAAAAAGACACTTTATCTGATTTTTGTTCAATGTTGAGAACTGATATTTAGAATTTTGCTTAGGACAAACTAAGGAACCAAAGGATTCTGAAGTTGTTTTAAAAAATTAAAAATTATAACATTAAAGTAGGTGGGATAGATGTAGGAAATAGGAATAGCAGAAAAAACATTTTGGAGTAGGGAGAATTTGCCTTGAAAAACTTTTTCCCTGGCTAACTCGCAAGCAACACCAGGCCCTGCAATTAGTAAATATAACCACAAATTATAAACTTAATGCAACAATGAGACCCTGAGCCATGGATACACATACTGTTAGTGATGCTTAGTGCCATTAGCATCATCTTCCAGCGTAAAAGATGGCATATGTAAATTGGAACAATTTTCTTTGGCTGCAGTTATGTGTGATGGAGGTTTGTATGTGAAATCACACAAGCGTTATCTTTATAAAGATGGAATGGGATTGACATTTTACATACACTCATGTATATGTACTCATGTATATGTGGACATACACTTTACCTTTGGATCTGTGGGGAATTCAACTTTACGGCCACCCTGAAAAGAAAAGTAACACTGTAAGAACAATGGTTTTTCACTGCTATCTTACCATTTTATATACTCCACAGTACATTCCAGCTTAATTTACATGAGATACATGAGATGTACTGAAATTACCAACCAACAAATGAAGACACAAGGAAGCCAGTTAAAGCAGACTCACCTGGGCAGTCTGGTCTGTAAGCTAACTATGCAGGTGAGGTGCAGTGTGCTTTTTTTTTTTAACTCAAAAAATTTCTCATTAATAAAAAAACCTGTATTTCTTTCTTTTCTTGAAAAAAAATCTAAGACCTGACCTCTCTGGGCCTAAATCCTCACAGGCAGCCCCACCTTCTACAATGATTAATCCTGAACAGGGCACAGGCTAGGGTTGGCTGTCCGTACCACTCCCTTTGGTTCAATGCCAGCCAACCTCACCCATTTTTATTTCCTGCCTGGACCCTGGAGGCATTTGATCTGGCAACACATGGCCTACAAAATTTTTGATGCTCACACATAATGATCTGAAGGATTCTTGAAATTGTAAAATAAACTATTAGATAAAATATAAAACATCCCAAATGACAGATTTGTGGGAGTGGTTACACTTTTATAATAAAAAGATTTTTAAAACTTAAACTTAATAAAAACAAGCCAAAGAAAAGATATTACATGAAAATATTAAACTGGTCAAGAGCTAAAAGCAGCAGTGGGAAAGTTACATAAAGGTGTATTTTTCACCAATATACCTTTAACAGCTTACACAAAACAGTAGCCAAAGATGTTCAAATACAGCAATGAACTGTAATTATGAAGGATTGTGGCTGATTTTATCAGCAAACCTAGGTTTATATAATACCAAGGAAGTGCTCTTTTCAAATCCTAAGGTAATCCTTTTCAGACTATAAGCTTCAGAGCTTATCATGGGTACAGCTGGGTGTGGTGGCATATAACTGTAATCCCACCTCTGGGAGGACAGGCAAGAGAATTCCAAATTCAAATCCAGGCTGGGCAACAGAGTGACTTAGTGAGACCTTATCTCAAAAAGAAAAGAAAAGGTGGGGATGTAGCTCAGTGGGAAGGCCCTGGGTTCAGTATATAGTACTATAAAAAATAAATACAGTAAGTCCCCAACCTATGGACTTAAGAACATTTGAGTTGGAAACTTCCACAGATACAAATAGACCTCACATTACAAACTGGTAGATGCAAACAAATCACAGAAGTAGCTCACGTGTCTGTTGGACATTGTCACAGTTGTGGTACTATGTGCTTACCATACAGTGCGATAGTGTACAGTAATGAGGTATTTGTTTGGTTTTTTATGCTTTACATTGTACATTGTATATTTACATTGTAAGAGTTACTCTGTCAGACTTATGAATGAATCTGACTTATGAACAGTCTCCCGGAATGGAACTTGTTCATAAATCAGAGACTTACTGTATATAAATAAAATCATCATTACAAACTGCCTTCAAAACCTGGGAAATTCTTTCGTATATTCATAAAACAAACAAAACTTTGTTCTTTGAAAGTAGATTTAATTTTAAGGGTAAAACAAGGAGAAAAATCTAATGTCATTTGCAAGTATACTGATAATTAAACCAAATGCATTGGCAAGAGGGGCAAGATTAGGATAGAACATCAACTAACTTTCTAATTTGTCTCAAACTGACTCTGAAGAGAACTGAAAAGTTTCAACCACATGTTTGTAATGGCTCTTACCCTCACAAGTGTGGCAGTGAGCACCCACGACAATGTGGCAGATGCTATGTCCCACTGCGGGACAAACAGATGCAGCCTGGTTCCTCCCAAATCTGCAGTCCAGCAGAAGAGACAAAGACCAAGGGAAAATACAGAGAAGGTAGAGGGAGGCAGTAGCAGGCTCCTTCTAAGGCAAATGCTTGGGAGGACAACAACACTCATTTGGACATCTAGCCCAGGTCACCACCCCCACCTAGAGGCCACCCTGTCACTATAACTGGGCTGGTCTTCGGCATGCCCTACCTCTTTCCCTGCTCTGCACTGTGGCTCATACCTGCTCTGTTTGTTTGTTTTGAGAGAGGGTCTAGCTATGTTGTCTAGACTGGCCTTGAACTCAGATCCTCCTGCCTTAGCCTCCCAAGTGGTGGGATTACAGGTACAGACCAACTACTATACCTGGAAATACCTGCTCATTCTTTAACACTGAATTTGATTTATCACAAAGTTTTCTGGAAGCCAGCACAGGAAGATCTTGAGTTTGAGGCCAGCCTGGGTTACTCAGCAAGTCTGATGCCAGCATGGACTTATACAGCAAGACGCTCTCTCAAAAAACCCAAAACAAACAATGCCTAAAATCATGATGCTTTCCTAATTATGCCCCTTCTCTGTCACATCACCCACAAGCTGGAATTTTATTGATCTTTCTTCCTGCTTTTCCACAGATCTTTAATTCTACACTGGGCTGAAGCTTTGTACACAGGTCTGCAGCTCTGCTAGACTGAAGGTGCCCTGAAGGCAAAGGATACAGTCTTATCTACTTTTTTATCTGTAGTGGCTTGAAAGTTATTGTTGCTAGTATTTCTACCTAGTAATCTTTCTTTTAAAAGTCAGTTTTAGAGCCAGGGATTTAGCTCTGTGGCACCACACCTGCCTTGCAAGCACAAGGTCCTGAGTTTGATCCAGTACCGGTACCGCAAAAAAAAAAAAAAAAAAAAAAAGTTTTATTGCTTCAACATCACATCCTCTGAATTATCAACATCAAACTGATAAAAAAAAAAAATCACTGCCAGCCATATGCCTATAATCCCAGCACTCAGATCCCCATGAGCTCAAGGCTAGCCTGGGCTACATAGTGAGACCCTGTCTGAAAAACAAAAACCAAAAAAGAAAAAGAAAAAGAAAAAACAATCACTGCCTTGGAGAGCACTGTTTGATTTCATTTTTACCATTTTCATAGGCCGCATGGATCCAATGTATGCTGCGTCTGTATCCCAGAAGGATAAGTCAGGGTATTCACCAGGTTCCAGGATGAAAGGGATACCTTGAAATCCAGGCTCCTCGTATATCAGCCATCTAAATAAACACAGAGGAAGTAAAGAAACAGACAACTTGTCACTTATCTCTTTCAGTTTTTGCACCTCTCTGGTACCCAGGACCCACTGACAAGAGAGGATGTGGCTGACAGGATGTATAGGATGTTGTTGACCCAAGGAGGACAAGCAAGTCATGCTGGGCTCCTCTTCTGACCTTTTTGCTTTTATCCTTTGCTGGCTTTGCTCACTCATTTTAATTCATATTATTAATTTCTTCTAAGTGTAAATATCTCTTATTTCCAATAAACAGAAATAGTTAATCTTTTGCACTGTATTTATTTGGAGAGGCCCCAGTTGGAAAACCTCAAGGATTGTTTGAAAAGATAACACCTCGGGCTGGGGATTTAGCTCAGTGGTTCTGCCTGGAAAGCTCAAGGACCCTAGTTGAGTACCAAAAAAACAAACAAACAAACAAAAAAAGAGATAACACCTCATTTATAAACAGAGATTAAGAATGTTCTACCTAATCATTTTCCATGATGTCAGGAATTATTGTGCCCCCCACCCACCCTTATGAGGAACTGAACTCATGATCTTGTGTTTGCCAGGCAGGCACAGCACCACTGAGTTACATCCCTGGCCCCCGTGTCAGGAATTATTAACAGTGCTCATCTACCTACAGCTGACAAGAAACATGGCCCAGAATTTCATCTAAGCCTCACAGCAATGCTATGAGGAAGCAATACTACTGTCTTCCTTTTACAGATGAGGTTAAATAAATTTCCCCAGGCCACACAGCTGTAAGGACCAAAGGCAGGGCTGACCCAAGATGACTCCAGAACCAGGCTCCTAATCATTTTTTTTATTATGGGGAGCTCACCAAACACAATTTCCTCTTTTCACATTTACTTAGGATCATCACTATGAGCATTATCACTTAATGCACACTGGTGCGGGGTTGGGGGTGGGGTGTTGAAGGTCTACAGAGCTGCTTGTTCCCAGGATGCAGAACTTTTTAATATTTGGTTCTGATTTTAATGGCTTTGCAATATCACAACCAAGCTTGTCAGCTGTCACTTCTGCTTTGGTGCAGGAACCAGCAGCCCCACCCTTCTATACTGTGTCACAACCAGGAAACCATAAAATCAGGCTTGTTAGAAGTGACTCTAAAGACTGCAAGGTCTTACAAATTTCTTCATTCCCTGGAGGGCTCTGGGAAGGTGGAGTCACTGGAGAAGTGACGATTATATAAGAGGTGTTAATGCATACCCTTCATAAACAAATATAGATTTCCTGATCAGTGCACAGTCCAATTCTTTCTCAGTCTGGCTAAAATGTCTAGTCCTGACACTACCATTTCACGTTCCCTAGATACAGTACCATGAGGAGGATGGCTCTTACAGAATTTTTTTTTAAGTGGTACCAGAGATTAAACGCAGGGCCTCTGCACTGAGCTACATGCCTAGCCCTTTTTATAAATTTTGAAACAGTCTCAAGTAGTTAAGTTGCCCAGGGTAGGCTTGAACTTGTAATCTTCCTGCCACAGACTCCCAGAAAGCTAGGATTACACAGGCATACACCATCATGCCTGGCTTCTAAATCAAATCTTTTACCAGTAAAATGGGTTTGATGCTCCCCTCTTTACTTTTCTCTTATTCCCAATTTTGGCCCAAGGCACTTTTATAGGCACTTTTGTTAGACATTGCCCAGGATAAATCAGTAACTTCTTACTGCTCACCACTTACACAGGGATTTACAACCACAATGTGCTCTAGAATTGTACACACACACCAAAGAATGTGGGAGGCTGACACGGTATGCAGGTGGAGGATCAAAGCTAATCTACAGGACAACAGTAACTTGGCAAAAGGAGGTGAGCAGACTTGGGAGGAGGCAGGAATGAAGAGGCTGCTGACAGGCTTCTATTTCTTAATTAGGTGATGGTTCCTCCTGTGTATTCACTCAGCTTATGCATTTAAGATTTGTTGTGTTCCTTTTTGCACAAGTATTATACTTCAAAATTAATTGACAGAAAGGAGATTTGGATTTTAAATAACATTGTAATGCCCCTAAACCACAAGAAAACAGACTCAGAAGGGAGTACTTTATACTTCTTTATGTGTAAAGCATGACAGCTAAGGATACATTACACAATTTGGGGGCTCAAAACAGTCATCAGCACACTACATGTAGATTTTGTGCCCTAAGTAATGGCAGTTTTGGAATAAATTCTGTTATTAGGTTAAAAAGTGAAAAGCTTCAAAGTCTGACTCCTTCACAAGTAAATGGGCTTAATTTTTCATAAACAGGATGTATGGCTCATGAACAAGAGATTCTGAGATTTTGAAATGATGCTTCCTGAAATAACCTTTTCATTCGGTCTCTCCTTTTATAGTTTGAGTTCTGAAGGGATTTATTCATCTGATACTAAAGTTTCACTTTTCTTGAAGCGTGTAGGTTAGTCACATAACATTTACAGGAGGAAGGCAATGCAGGTAGAGGGCACATTGTTAAATTGAACACATAAACTGATTCATTTGAAAAGACTGTTCTGAGAGTATTTCCTATAGCAAGTGGGTGCTGGGAGTCTGCTGCATAACTTGGACAACCATTTATGAATGTTGGTTGTGCTCTGGTATCTGAAAACTCATACATAAAGCATGACTCATTTTTTCCTAAATTCTGTTCCAAAATGATACAGTATTCATGAGGTTATCAAGAGGGGGAAATTATCTTCAGGCAATGTAATTTCAATGTCTAAAGGTGCTCTTTCTTTTCCTTTGCACTTAGGTGATAAGCTTTTGCCAATATACATTAAAAAGTACCACTGAACTATAAAGTATGACTATAATAAACTATACAAATATAAAACATGAGCTTATTTTCTTAACAAAAAAAGTATACAAATGTATTCATGACAAATGCATATGAATATTGCTGAAGTAATAACAATGGCCATTTATATATACAGTAATACCTTGGCTCACGAATGCTTCTGTTGGCAAACGATTCATTTTGAACACAAAAGTGTTCAGCAAAATTTTCTTCCAGTCTCAAAGTCTACATCAGGTGACAAACATGACCATGGCCATCTTCCCCACACAAGCACAAATGCAGCCATCTTCCCCCAAATTGTAAAACACATTAAGTTTGTAAACCGAGATACCACTGTATTTAAAACATTTGTGTAATTATTCTTCTAGAAACAAACTTTGAATCACATAAGATAAATCAATTTTATCTTGTCCACTTTTTCTTATACAGGAGGCAACTCTCAGGAGGAAAAGCTAAAATTAATATTTCCAGCTGGATCCTAAGACATGGTTATTTGAAACATTAAATATGAATGTGCTAACTCTGAGTTATTCAAAGAAGGGTGGGCTGTGTATATCAAAGGGGAAAAGGAACTCTTACAATGGCAGATGTGGGAGGCACCACTTTTACCAAGGAAGCAAATGTGATGTCATGAAGGGGAAGCTGATTAGTGCTTGGTGGGATGCAACAGAAATACATGGTACTACCCTTGCCCATACCGTTCAGCCCAGATCTAACCATACCTTTAGATCTAGCACTTTCAGAAAATGCAGGTGGCAGAGGAACAAACGAAATGACATCATGAAGAAACAGACAAATCCAGAATGTGGGCCATATTCCAAGACAGCTAGCCTCAAGTTCCTAACAAGTCAGTGGCATAGGAAACAAAGAGATGGGGCTCCTTCAGAGATTAAAGAGACACAGGCAGAACAACCAAATGCATCCATACGAATCTTGACTGGATTCTGATTTTTTAAAAAGATTTATACAAGGTACTCCTGAGACAATTTGGAAAACATGGCTATGCACCACAGATTACATATCACATACACACCGTACTAGTTTTCTTAGGTAAGAGGTGTGATTAAGAAGTACAATGAATGTCTGAATTTTTAAAGAATTGCGACCATAAAAGGTATGCTGCCATTAATCTCCCTTAAAACACTCACCCTCATTTCAAACACAGTTATCCTATAGTTCTTGCCACTTCCTGAAGCAGTCCTAGAAGTCCTCTTTTGTGACAGTCTTTAGTGGATCTGTCATGGCTGCCTCAATGTCCTGAACTGATTCAAAATGTTTACCTTTCATGGTGATTTTTATTTTAGAGAAGAGCCAGGAGTTGCATGGTGCCAGACCCTGTAAACAAGGTGGATGATGACACCATAAAATTTTTTTGAGTCAGGGTCTCAAAAAAGGCAAGCCTTGAACTCATGGCATCCTCCTGCCTCTGCCTCCCGAGTTCTGGAATTACCTCCTGGAATTACCACACCTGGGAATTACCTTCTGGAATTACCATACCTGGGCTACCATAATGTTTTTATGAGCCTGCCTTTCAACTGGATGGCACTTGGCCCCTGCACTCACTGTATTTTTGATCACTCCTCGTAAAGACAGCCATAAAATAGGACTCCCAGGCATTGCTTCAAAAAGTAGCAAGAATGAAGCCAGGTGTGGTAGCACACACCTGTGATCCCAGCACTAAGGAGGCTGAGGCAGGAGGATCACTGTGAGTTTGAAGCCAGCCTGGGCTACATAGCAAGACCTTGTCTCCAAAAAAAAAGATGGTAAGAATGATAGGTGGTGGGCCCATGGGGGTTTGTTTTGTAATCAGGCTCTGTAACTCACATACATGTATTCTTCTGTATACACCAACCATTACACAATAAAAATGATCAATGTTGGCCAGTATGAAAACTGTCCCTTGGTCAAGTGTGGTGGCACACACCTGTAATCCCAGCACTCAGGAGGCTGAGGCAGGAGGATCGTCCTAAGTTGGAGGCCAGCATGGACTACACAGTGAATTCAAAGCCATCCTGAACTACAAAGTGAGACCCTGTCTCAACAAAACAAAACAAAACCTGTCGGTTCATTCACAATATCTGCATTCTGGTATATATATTTATGTACCTTCACCTCTGGAAGATAGGTGCTGAGATTAGCTATCTACTTAAAACAAAGGTTTATAAGCAAATTAAACTTAACAGAATCTGAAAGTTAAGTTCAGTTAGGAATCACTCATTTCCTCAAATAAGATCTGACAGAGAATATGCTTGTGTTGTGTATGTGCAGATGTGCCTAATGTATGGTGAATGGGCCCTGAAGCACACTTCCTAATAATGGAATCTAGAAAAGAGCTCCCATAGCAAAAACTTCTCTTATTCCAGCTCAGGGCACTGGTACACCTACAGCAAAATGAGCTCACATACTTATTATTAGTTAAATATTCTCAAACCACCCAGACTTCCTTTGGAGATCCGTAAAAGTACTAATGGTCCTAAGCTCAACAACCATGTTTAGTGACCACAAACTTTGAACTGACATCTAAGGCAGCTCTCATGATCCTAATGACAACAAAAATGAACAGCCAAAAAAAAGATGTCGATCACTGTGCAAGCCCCTCATGAACTGTAAGCTAAGACAGCCATGTAACTACCACCTAGGAGGCAAACCGACCTCCATACAAAGGTAAGAGATGCTGCCTAATGTGGTTCAATATGTTCCAGCATGGGCAAAAGCTGAGTCATGACACCTTCTAGACACTGAGATTAAAATCTATGGAATACATCTTTCTCATTCTTTCCAAAGCAAAGTGATATTTCTCTACACTAATGCTGTGGGGCAAAAGAAATGTGTAGATTCCTTGAATGTGAAAAACTTCAAGGCACAAAACATGCAAGCATTTTCTTTTGCTTAGATATGTACTTTTCCTCCCAATCTCTAAATATAAAAGTGCCTAGGCTCACACAGCTCTTTTCCCTGAACTACTCTTACTCCCAACTTTGGAATCTCACACTGCCCGATTTCAACATCTCTGTCCTGAGGACCCCATACATTCCATCTTTTTTCCCTTGTACTCTTTATGTGCAACCAGCAACTCAGACTTACAGTATCCAAAACTAACTCTTTCCACTCTCCCTCCTACCCAGCTCCTCCAAGTCTTCATCTCTGTACATGCTGCAGGTCCAAACCCTGGATATTTCTCAGCCACTCACACTCCACCTACAATCTATGAGTAGGGGCTGGGGATTTAGCTCAGTGGTTCTGCTGCCTGCCTCACAAGCACAAGGACCAGAGTTCACTCCCCAGTACCAAAAACAAAACAAAACAAAACAAAACAAAACTATGTCAGGACTACAATCTGTGAGCAAATCCTGTCAGTTCTACCTTCAAAATACATCCAAGTCTATTTCCCACCGCCATTATCACACTGTCCCAGCCACCAACATCTCTTGGTTGCTTGTATGATTGCAACTCTCTTAACTCATTTCTTGCTTCTACTCTTCCTTCTTTGCAGTCTATTTCTACACAGCAGTGAATGATCCTTCTAAAACACAAATTAGATCAAATTTCTTCAATGATTGCCCACACCACTTAAGAGTAAATCCAGTCCCCTGTTGTCAAAGCTTAAAAGCCTTCTCATGATGTGAGGCCTCTCTGCCATGCTGTCCTCCAAGCTCACTTTGCTCCAGCTGTTGTCCAAGCCCAGCCCACAGGGCTTTTTCGAACACTGCTTTCTATGCCTGGGACACGCTTCCTCCCTGCTTCCCTCTGCTACCCCACTGCAAACTCCCTCATCCCTCCAGGTCTCTGCTTAAATGTCCCCAGAGACCCTAACTAAAATAGCACTCCCTTGTCCTTCTCTGTACTGTATGTTTCTTGTGGCCTTTTCCACCTAATACATTACATATGCACTTGTGTGTCTCTTCCTACTAGACAGGTACTTCCACAAGAGTAGACATCATGTTATGTGTTTGCTGCTTTGTTCCCAGTGCCTAGGAAAGCACACAGTAGATGGTTAATTCATTGCTAGATTTACTGAGAGAGATGTAGTCATCTTAGACACTGTATTCGGTTTACATTTTTTCAGAGTTCCCAGTTCCTTGATGTCTTTAGAGAGGCTATGGAGAGAAAAAATCTTTCCTGATTTCTCCTTCTAAATGTATCACCTTTAGGCATTTCATAGCTTTTCAAGATCTACAAGTACAGGGTACTAATTGATGTGATCAATGTATATACTGTCCTTGGAAAATATGCATCAAAAGGAAATATTTAAGTTAAAATTATTCTTTACACCCCAAGTTCTGCCTTAGTAAATGTTCCTTTAGTAGTTTCTTTTCTTTCCTCTTTGTATGTTGACAAACCATCACTACCATCTTTCATTGCTATTACCTCACTTTAGGAGGGGGTGTGCTATGGTGTATATATCCTTACCAAAATGCATGTGGAAATTCAGTGCCCACTGCAAGGCATTAAGAGGGGGGACCAGATGGGATCCTGATGAGGCAATAAGGTCATGAGGGTTCTACCTTTAGGAATGGAATAATCCACTCATAGAACAACAGTCATCTGGATAGTGGGTCTATCACAGAAGCTAGTTTGGCTCTATCTCTGGTATGTGCCCCTCTTGCCCCTTGATGGCCTGAAGAGGGTCCCCAGCAGCAAGAAGGCCTTTGCTACATGGTGGCCCTGACCTTGTGCCTTCCAGCCTCCCAAACTGTGAGCCAACAAACCTTTATTCTTTGTAAATTATCAGCTGGTGGTATTCAGTTATATCAACAGAAAATGAACTAAGATTGGGGACTGTATGTATAGGGAAGCACATACATAGCTTCTAGGACACTGGTAGGGTTAGGATTAGTATTCTAGTTTTTTATTTGAGTGGTATCTAATCACTTTATTACTTGCTTTAACTATACATTTATCTTCTATGCACCTTTCTCTAGGTGTGTTGTATTTCAAAAATTTTAAGGCAAATAAATAAAAGAATAGTCATAAAGGAGGTATCTAACTCATATTTTACTCCCCCTACAAAACCCTAGATAAATTGTCCTATCATTTACTTGAATACTTGTGATGAGAAACTGCCTGATAAGGCAGCCCACTTCCATTTCAACTATTTTAACCATTAAAAAGTTCTTCCCTGGGCCAAGTCAAAATTCACTGCTCTAATTTCCTATCTTGTTTTGTTTTATTTTATGTTGTGTTTTGAGGCAAGGTCTCACTATGTTGCCTAGACTGGCCTTAAATACCTGGGCTCAAGCAATCCTCCTGCCTCAACCTCCTGAGTAACTGGGACTACAGGTACATGTCAACATGCCCAGCTCAGCACTATAATTTCTATTGGTTTTTTCCTGGAATGTCCTATGAAATATCAGAGAGCAAGCATAATTTCTTTTCAAGATGTAAACCTTTTAGCTCTTTAAGGATGGCTGCTACTGTAAGCCCAAGTCTCAGTAGTCACATTTCCCATTAAATTACCAAAAAGATTTTAGTTCCTGATTTCTTAGGACCAAAAACCAAATTGTGTGATTTCTAATCTACCCAGTTCCTACATTCCATACAACCAAGTCATTTTTCCAACATAAGAAAATAAAAACCAAGATTCTAATCAGTAGACTGCAAAAGATATGACTAAGCACCACCATTCACTGCAGAGACACTGTATCACTTCACAGGACTGATGACAGACTTCTTATCTCAGCACTGAAGACTTCTGAGCATTCGATGAATATGTATTATTTATAAATGATATACACTACCACAGACAAATACACTGTGCATATTAGGAAACATATATAAAAGTAAATCATACAAGAAGGAGATTTTACATAAAATACATAGCATCTCTGGTGGGGTTTTCCCTGCATCTCAGTGGGCATCTTTCACATACCCTGGGCTGTGCACCCCATTCTAGAGACCACCATCATTCTTACTGCTGGCTGCATTTTTCATCTTAATTTCTCTCTTATCTGAGATAGTCTCATTTCCTTCCAAATGTTGTTGTAGTTTCCTGTGACTTGTGAAACTGATATCTTAGGAACTGTATTGTGTAAAAACGTTAAAGGAAGTACCATGTGTGTTGGCTCCTGTCCCACCTGAAATGAGGGCACATGGTTTCAATTACCATGAAGGCATAATCTGTTACTCAGCCCAATGAGTCAGGTTCCTTTGTAGTAAGGGAAAAACCCTACATTAAAAATGCACTGGCCCCTCCTCCAATAAATCACTATTATTTATAAGAGAGGTGAATCACAGCGACAAGGGTACAAAAGAATCAGAATTTTATGTGCCATAAAAAAATATCTTTTAGTAAAAAACAACAGGACAACAAATCAGAAACAGAATACTGTTAAGTCCTTTCTCTTATACTATCCTCACAGAAATATTTCATTAAAACTCTCTTTAAAATGAAATACTTACATTCCCCAATGCACTTTAATGGAACACGTCTTCTGCATGACACCAAATCCCTGCATTTCCTCAGCATCATCATAGTAGGAATTTAGGAGTCCTAACCCTTCTGGCTCAGTAAATAAGTCAATCTGACTAACTCTGTAATCCTGAAAAAAAAAAATACATACATAATACATGAATAACAAAAGTTACACCAAGTATTTAAAGTTCATTATTCTTTGTTCTTACAACTGATTTTTTGTTTTTTTCTGGTACCAGGGATCAAACTCAGGACCTTGTGTTTGCTAGGCAGGCAAAAGGCCGCTGAGACACCCAGCCCTACAAATGATTAAAATAAGCCTTCAATGTGCACACTTCACAGGGCACCTGCTATTTTGTCCCTTTCCTATTTGCACTTATAACTTCATATTATGATGATTTGGGGACAGACACACTGCTTCAGTCATACAGTCTTATATTCAAGCAGAGATCCATATCAGAAATGTATTTATTAGCACTTTAGAACATCTTTCTCTCTCCTGCCCTTGATGCTCCTGGATCACAGGAGTGGTGACTCGTGTGCTCTGAAGTAACTATCCGAACACAGAGAAGCTACAGAATGGCTGCCCTGGAGTCTCTTCAACTACTGTCAGGGTATGGCCAGCAAAGGCTAAAAAACTCACAAAGTGAAAGGATGGGCCGGGGATTCAGCTCAGTGGTTCCGTTGCCTGCCTCGCAAATGCAAGGACCCAAGTTCAATCCCCGGTACCAAAAAAAAAAAAAAAAAAACGTGAAAGGAGAAGACACTTCATGATGATGGGATTCAGGTATTTTTTAAACATTGTGTATTCTTAATATTATCTGAGCAATGAATAAAAATATAAGGAGAACATTCCACTAATGAGGACATTTTGAAATAGGGTTCTATTCATATCTCATTTATGGCATACAGTATTATCTACTTAGAATTATTAAAAGATTAATTATTTAGAATACCAATTATCACATCACTCAGAAATGTTGAGCTAGGACACAGTTTTCCTCTGCTAAAAATTGTTATTTATTCTTACTCATTCTAATTTAGAACCTTCCATTTCTCTCTTTTGCACTTCATAATCTTTTTTTTTTCTTTTTTTATAATCTCCATCTTTAATACACAAACTTGGAATTTTAATTTTCCCCTAGGAAGACACCTAATTTTACAAATTTCATGAGCAACAACAAAAGATGTCAATAGCACCTTTCTCACCAGTGAATAAGAAGCCAAGAGATCTTAATCCATAAGGTGGCTTCAAATATTCAAATAATATTTTTTAAATCCACATAGAACCACAGAGTCCAACTATCACCTGAATTATTTCTGGATTATCTTCCCAAAATAGAACATATGTAAATTACTCAAGGTAATCAGAAATCATGCAGCAACCAAAAAAACTAAAGGAAAAAAATCTGTCCATAAAGAACTCATCACAGGGTGGGGAGTGTAACAGCTCACTGGCAGAGCACTTGCCTAGCATGCATGATGTCTTGGGTTCAATTTCTAGTACTAAAAAACAAACAAACAAACAGACAGACAGACACCTCATTGCAATCAGGTTATTGAGTAAAGTACATTTGGAAGATGGGAACAGGGGCCCAGGAGAGAAAGACTTACCTTGAGGATTTATCTTGAAAAAATACCAAACCAATTAGAATGTGTCTTTTCTAATTCATTTAAGGTGTATAAATACTTGTTATAGAACATACATCTCTAAAACATCAAATATTTTCCCACTTTTTTCATAAAACAGAAAAGAAGAATCATTCTCAAAATAAGAATCATAATGAATGAAATCCAGATTTATTATCACCTACCTGGACCACATGTCTCATTGAACCAATCACTACAGGCTTGTCAGATTCTACTTCCTCATTTCTTTCCATATTATCTTCTATACTCCAGAGGCCAGAGAGTTCTAATTCGCCTTCTTCTAAGGGGATGGAGTACCCTTCAAAATTTGGTTTCTCGTATAAAATCCAACTAAGAATAAAACACAGCAAAACCATTAGTCAATCTCAATGAGAGAAGTTTTGATTACTCAAATATTCTGACTAATAAACCTATTAAGTTTAGTAACCAATTCTCTAGTAACTAAAATAGCAAAAATTCTCCCTAAAACAAACTTTACTGGGTATAATTAAGCCTCTGATAATTCAAGAACTGTATTAGAGTCTTAGAGAACTTTTGGGTTATTGCCTTAAGATGCCATAGAGCTACCAATGTTCTATGGACTTGCTAGTAGTAGAAAGTTACAAATGTTAATATGTAAATGGATGTTTAATGTAGTGGGATGTTTTTCCTTATATGCATAAACATTTCACTTAGAGAAATTTTAACTTATTAGAGTTGAATCAATGGATATATCGATACAAAGGACTACATATATGTTAATGGAAAGCATTTTGAAAATATTCTCCCCAACAAAGGCCAAACACTAAGAAAATCCTCATGTTAATATAGGTAATGTTGCTCGTAAGTGCTTATGCTTTCAAGAAAAGAAAAAAGCCAACAAAAGTTGCAAAAGAAAAAAAACACTTCTATTAAAGACAAAATTGTAGGGCCAGGATTTAGCTCAGTGGTTTCACTGCCTGCTGCGCAAGCACAAGGACCGGAGTTCGATCCCCAGTAGCAAAAAAACAAAACAAAACAAAAACAAAATTGTTATGCAAAAATTATAGTACAATTTTCAGTCTCCAAATTTAAGAATGAAAGCATATTTTATTTTACTAAAGATTATGTTAAAAATATATATTAAAGTATTTAAAAACCTAGTATGAAAGATGTTATATAGCCAGGCATGGTGACATACACCTGTAATGCCAGCTCTCAGGAGGCTGAGGCAGGAAGGTCACTGTGAGTTCGGGGCCAACCTGGGCTACATAGTTAGTTCAAGGCCATTCTGCACTACAAAGTGAGACCTTGTCTCAAAAAAAAAAAAAAAAGAAAGAGGTGTATTTAATCAAATGGAGATGAAAAGAAAACTAATTTTTAGAACTATTAACGTCTAGAGCTCTACCCTCTTCAAAAGAGTTTGTAAATAAGTACCAAAGATAAGTACGTCAGATCAGAGGTTTTTTTAAACTTGCCTTTCTTACTTTCTGTACCTTTCCAAAAGGCAATTAAACTAGTAAACCAATTTTAGAAATTGCAAAAGTATACATATTTTCATCAGTTTCTTTACTTAAAATGATCTTTTGTCAAAACATTGGAAAGTAGGCCAGGGATTTAGCTCAGTGGTTTCAGCACCTGCCTCGAAAGTGCAAGGTCCCGAGTTCGATCCCCAGTAACAAAAAACATTGGAAAGTATACTTTAGGTTAGTTGTTCACTGAATTGTCATTAAAAAAAATCAGTAAAATGTCTTTCCTTACTTATTATTAAAGTCACATTAACATGAGTACAGTGCAATTTAAAACTCATCAGCCAAAAGTATGTTATTGGCCCTACTGTCTGATTAATCCAAAGTAGTATTACATGGAAATACATGGGAAAAAGAAGCTTGGTCTACTGCACTTTTCTGGTTTTCCTACTGTGAACATGTATCAATCCTATAAACAGAAACATGATTAAAATCGTATTTCTTGCCAGCGATAGTAACACAGGTTTGGAGTCCCAGCACCTTGGGAGGCTAAGGCAGGAGGATCACAAGTTTGAACACAGCCAGGACAACTCACCAACTTAGTGAGTCCATCTCTCAAAAATAAAAAATGGATTGGAGATCTAGCTCAATGCAAAGGCCCTAATACCACAAATAAAAAATAAAACAAATAGGTATAAATCCCTTTCCACAAACAGTGTTTTCTGCATTTTACACTGATAAGGAGTAATTACAAGTAAAGAAAAAAGAGCAAAAAGGTAATTAAGGAAACACACACTGTAAGTTAGGAACCTAAGCATCATTCTTACCATCCTCTAACAACTTTTATAAGTACCACTGGAGACAGCTTCCAGGAACTGCAATCCTGAAAGTTGCTGAAAACTTCAATATTCTTCTCAGAAACATCGGGTTCAGTGAATATCACCACCTGTGAGAAAATGAAAGTAGCAGCACTCTGTCATACTCCAACAGACCAAGACAAAATCTAGACTAGAAATAGAAAATGATCTTACCTTTCCAGGTCTGGGATTGAGTTTATTTTGCACACTTCCTCTAAGTGTCTGTAATCAAATGGATAAAAACATAACAATTACAACTTTACATAATAGTCCTCTTCTCTATCTATGATCGTCTAAATAAAATCGTATTTACCGCACAATTTCTCTTTTTGAAACATGGCCAACCTGCTTTATGCCAAAATTATATTAATGCTGTATTTAAGTTCATACTATTAAGAGTATTTTTCCCTCTCTAGCTGAATTTGCTGTTTCAATTCTCATTTAAAAACTATTTCTACTAATGCTAGAAAATTCAGGGCCCAAAAGTCAGACCTAGGTTTTATGTCAATTCACAGACTAAGAACCAAGAGATTGTAATTCAAATAATCTTAAGTGTAACCTCAAATACATAAAGGAAATTAGGAGGTATTAATCACTTATCTACGAAGAGCTGAGTCAACTTTATGTGCTCATATACACATCCTATCTGGATCTGTAAATATTGTTTTAGATTTTTTAAATTTTTATTAAAAATGTATAACTTTATTATTCACTAAACACACATATATACAAAAATTAAAATTATTCAAAGAAGAGCAATGCAAGGGAATAAACTATAATAATATTCAAATATAATAGAACTCAACCAAAGCAAAACTGAAAAGTACTTAAACATTTTACCATATAAGTTTTTAAAAACCTCAAGCATTAATCAAAGGATGTGATTTGTTTTAGAAAGATTTTCAAAACTAATAATGAACAAATAGTAGTCTGGAAAAAAAATTCTAATTAGCTAGTAGACTCCACATAGGGCAAATTTTTAAAATTTAAATTTCAATAGTCATGTGACACGTGATAGAAATATAATCTGAGAAATATGTTATTAGGCCATCTCATCCATGTGTATCGCAAAGTACCACACAGAGTGCCAACTTGTAAGTGCAAACTGAAAAGGTATACGTTAATCACCTGTGATGGCCTCTTGATATTATCCAAATATGCAGTTAAACCTGAGATACATGAGGCTACCACTGGCATAGCAGCACAGTTTTACAGTAAACTCTTTTATATAAGTAGGATTATGCTCTAAAGGATGAAAAGCACAGCATGTTATGATAAGTACATAAAACAGTAACAGTCATTTATCACTATTGAGTACTGCATACTGTACATAGTTGTATGTGCTTCTTCTGGAAACACTCTTCTCTCCTTTAGTCTCAATGACTCTTCCTTTCCAACCCATTGATGAGCTCCAGCCTAGTCTCTATCTACATCTCTTCCAACAGTTTTAAGCACAATCTTACATATGGATTCTTTCCAGATTCCAGCCTGTAACTCTGATCTCTCCCCTTCCCCTCCTTCCCACCCCTACCCCTTTGAACTTTTTCTTCCTATTTCAAATTATCAATTACTCCTTTTAATCATTTAAATCCTTAATTACACTTTCAGTTTCTCACACTAGAGAAACTATTCTGTATTTACATGTGTGTCCTATTTATTTCACTTAAGAGGATGGCCTCAATATGTATCCATTTATCTATAAATGTCTCTAGTTTCTCGTTCTTTATGGCTGAGTAGTACTCCATTTTATTTTTTGTATTTTTTATTTTTTTGGTACCGGGGATTGAACTCCGGGTCCTTGCGCTTGAGTGGCAGGAGGCAGAACCACTGAGTTAAATCCCCGGCCCAGTATTCCATTTTATTAAAAAAAACCCACATCTTCTTTATCCAGTTTCCAGTTGATGGGCACTTGGCTGCTTCCAAGCTTTAACTATTACAAACTGTGCCGCTATGAACATGGGTGCACGTATATTACTGTGGTATGATTCTTTTAATTCTTTTGGGAATATACCCAGTAGGGGAATAGCTGGGTCAAATGGGAC